CGAAAATAAACAACTTACTCTAACCAGTTTAGCACAGTGACTGGTGAATGAGCGTGTAACACGTGAGCGCGCGTTTCGTCACGTGACGTCACTTTTCGTCACGTGACAAGTACCCGCCAATCAGACATTGGATCGGCGGTAACGTGGGACGAAGTACTGCGTGTTTAATCTACACTCATAATTTTCTCCGTCGTTTGAAAATGAATGTACATTTGAGTGTATCCGCTTGTGAATACTGCTCGGTGTTTTACAGAAATTGGACATGGTTGTTCGATATGTTTTATATTTTGCTGCTCTTCGGTCGCACACGTAATGTCAATTAGTCTGTTGAATTTTGAAATTCAAGTAATTGCCAGTTTTTATTTATAGATCAGTTTGATTTTCGATGAGGCCAACTTTTAGAGTACCCACCTTTTCAGTTGACTGTTACCACACTTCTAAACTATACAAGCAGGTCAAGTTCACGGCTCGTTAGCTCACTATAATATCAATAAAACAAAGATAAGTTGATTGTTGATGTTCCAAGCTGTGTGTAAACACGCTGTTTGCATACCGCTCTAAGGGGATTGTGTAGATGCCAAACATACCGGAAATTCCATTGAAACTGATCGATCACACAGAGAACAAAGAAGTAGAACGAAGGTCCCGCTGCAATAGATCAACAATAGATGGTTAATTATATAAACTGGCAATGAAATTAGTCTCATTTCACAACTTATAGAGCAACGCACTAATTCGACACACGCAATAAAAGTTAAACAATATTATCCAGACTGGCTTATACATTTCTATTGACATAACATATCGTTGAGTTGGCATTCGTTTATTAGGTAATATCTCGTTGTCATTTTATGATTTATCCATTTATCGATTTATAGTTATATCTTATACCGATAAGATCATTTCCATCCGCCGTTTTTATTTCTTAACGATCGTTAGGAATACGATTGTCTAAAGTAAGCATGCAGTGATTGTTGTGTCAGCTGACTTACATTTTGATAAGTATAAAGTTAAACTGTTACCCACAAACTTGATATCATATAAAGAAAATGTTTATAAACAGAAATATTCGATTAATTCATTAAACTTTTACGAAATGTTGAGTAACATTCTACCTATCATACACTTACTTAGATTACGCTACTGAAATGCAGGAGTCAACACACATTTAGAAGATTAAATAACAAATAAAAGGGGCTGTGGACCGAAGATGTTAGGCTAGATTTTGGGAAGGGTATGTTTGTTTCATAAAATGGCATTCACCAGTTTCTCTCAATTGGCAAATTATCACGAATGACATGTTCAGCTCCATTGGAATGTAAAAAACCTATTATCTCTTGACTACGGCCGCTAGACGTATCCTAACATAACATGTTAACTGCATCATTGCAACTCTTAAGCTCTCAGTCCAGTTATAGAATATATAAGACATTCCTCCGAGGAATGCGAACTAATTTACGGAACGCTAATTGGTCTAAAGCTTCCCAGATCACCGATCAATAGTCTGATATTTCACTCCCGTTACAGATCCCTATTTCCTACATATAGCTGCGCTAGCTCTTTGTTGTAAATTATATCCTTGTTATCGTAATTGGCGATGTTTCTTTCGTGATGAGAGCGCTGAAATCGGTTTTTACCTGTTCCTTGATCTTTTCACTTGTTTTTCATAAATTCGATAACAATTTCCTCGCACATAATATATTAAAGTCATTATTGTAACGGTATGTTAGAACCAGACAGAAACAAAGTGTGAAGGGCCTGAAAGTTTAAAATATAATGTAGATCAGTATGTATGTGAAAACTCATCTTTCACTCGCTAGTTATTTTCCAAAGTATAAATTGAGCGCAGAAAGCTATCGTTTTCAATCAGCCAGAACTAAGATGTAATTCCACAGATCTATTAATAGAACAGCAGGCCGCTTCAACTGTTATCATAATGCACTATTTGCACCTCCTGTATTGTTACATGTACTAGTAGAAGGCGGATGTTTCTTTTTCACGCTACTTCAAACACACCCTTTTTAACACGTTGTTTCAAGTTGCTTTGCTTTGTGTTATATTAGCCAAGGGAAAAAGGGGCGTTTTGATAGTTATAATGGGCATTTTCCTCCCCTAAAAATTCTTCAGAAGTAGTGCAAAACTATTTAAAGGTGTTGAATGTTATGAAACAGCACTTAAAGCCCCCTCCCGGATTGCAACATTGCCATGTTACGAAAATAATCGCCGAGCTAACAAAATATGCGCCATTCTTAGTAGCAAAATATTCGCCATGTTATAGCAAAATATTCGCCATGTTATCATTTATTTGCAATGCTGCGCGCGATGATGCAAATATTTCATAAAGAGGCAAATATTGTGGTTTGAAAAATTTGCCTTCTTAGCAAAATATCCGCCAAACGCTCAAATGCGCGTAGCAAAATATTCGCCATGTTGTGAATAATTTGCATAACATTTAAAGTTTAAATTTATTTTCTGATCTAGAGCTCGAAACTAATCAAAAATATTTATTTAGTTATTTATTTACCTTCATGACTGTTCCTAGCCAAAAATTGCACACTTCCTTATCCCTCGAACGTCATGTTTTATGACTGAAATCAACATTTCGATCCGGCATTTCATGTTAATTTGTTATGGCTAAAGGGGATTAAATTTAGTCGATGAGTTGCAAGGACAAAAGAAAATCGCGATTATTTAGACCAAAAATCGCGGCGCCGCGACAATCCAAACTAAGAATAATCGCGGCGAATTTGCGGCGAAAGATAATGTATTTGCAGAGCTAAATTAGATGTCCTAATCACACTGAAGTAGCAAAAAAACGAATCCCTCATCGGACTACTGTGATATACTAATCTTACGGCTGGATATTGAAAATGCAGAGGAGTAATAATAATATTATTGTATTGTGCGAGTTAAATTAAAAGTATTGTACCCAGACTTCTACAGGCTAGAAATCTTGGAACAGTAAACAAAATATTGATTTGATTCAGAGAAATAAACTCGCTGTTCCATTTTGACACGGTAGGTACTACTCTATCGTAGATTTGGTTCATAATGCAGCATCATGATGAGGAGATACAGTTATTATCTCAATTCTCATAGTCACGTGATAGTAGCTGCCAGAGTGACGGGGTCGGGACTCGGGAGAGGCTTATTAGTGAGATAAAAGTCAGATTATATTCGACTATCCTATGTGATCTGATAACAATATTTTGTTGAGTAGACTAAGAAAAACCATGATTTAACTAGTGGTGAAGCTAGCGAAGAGAGTGATTTAAACAGAATCGCAAAAATACCCCGAATGATGCGATATTTTAAAAACCAAGGGAGGGAGGGAGGCCAGGCAGGGAGGGAGAAAGTTTCCGGTAATAGAACCACCATGATTTATAAATCAGTGAGCTTGTGGAAAATTAAAATCAGATCATAGATAACACAATCATTTATAATCATATCTCAATTAAGGACAAAAGAAAATCATGATTATTTAGGCCAAAAATCTACTGATCAACTTTATGTCTATTGGTCAAATGAATGTCTAGTAGTAATGGTCATGTTTATTGTTTATGTCTAGTGGTCAAGATTTAGGGAAGTTCTTGGCTAACAAGTGACAAGGTTACGTCAGTAGCTTAGATGAGAAGTCGTATTTCAAAAACAATTGTTTGGTTTTTTGGACAGTACTTTTCAATAAAAATTTAAAATTACGTATGACACCGTCGAATTGAAAAGTGCGACTAGTCCGTACTTTTCATTTTAGGTCAGCAGGCGAGTGGGTTAAGAAATGCTGACGGTTGTCCACGGTTCATGCTACCCTGATCATTATGAGCCGAAGTACATATTAATTTCGGTTTTCTAAAGTTCGTTCCTAGTACAAACTCCTCGATGTACAATTTTGGACTCGAGACTTCCTCCTTGTAATACTATCCCGGAAGGCAGGCCTCCTTTTGCACTACGAGCTCGGAAGCGGGAGCTCTGCCTTCAGAGGTACGTATCGAGAATGACTCTGACCAAAGATTTTTGTAAAGTCAAAATCTTTTCAAAGTTTTTCTGGAAACTAATTTTGTTCACGTTTCATGCTACTCGGATATCCGGCCGGAACCGGATTCAGCCGCGTGAATATCCGGTCGGTTCCTAGTCCGTATAGTACCTACATTCGAAAATCGGAAGGCTGTGATTGGTTCCATATACTACTTATAAAGAACGTACTAATATTAGGCCCTCAGATTTAGGATAAAGGAAAATGCGATTTTTCTCGGAGAGCTAAAAAAATCGCGATTTGTCGCGGAGATTGGGGAAAATCGCGATTCCGCACATGCCGCGATTACCTTTTGTCCTTGATGAGTTGTGTGGCAGACAAGATTCTTTGAGATTCATTCTGTGAACATTATATGAAGCTGACTAGGTTTTTTCTATATAAAGGTTTTTTCTATGTATTATAATCATGGTGTCCTTTTAACAATAGGACATCATAATATGATATGTATATAACGGATAACCTCGCAACCTGCATTTCACTTTTGGTAACCGTAGGACCAAAGGATATTTAAAGACAAATATTTGTACTAATTTTAATTTGATACTAATTCTAATTTCAATTCTAATTTGCAATTCCACGTGACTTAAAATTATTCGAAACAAATATAACGTTGTGCGACTGCTTAGGGGTCGTTCACATATTACGTAATCAAATTTGAACAAATTTGTTACCCCCCCCCCCCCCCCCCCCCCCCCCCCTCCGTAATCAACCGTAATCAGTTTTACCATTTATACGTCATAACTATTGTGTTAATATTTCACTAACGTTGTCATTTAGAAACCCCCTCCCTCCCCAGTCCCCGGCCTCAGCAATTACGTAATCTGTGAACTGTGAACTGTGAACTGTGAACTGTGAACTGTGAACTGTGAACTGCGAACTGTGAACCACCCCTTAGAAGAAAAACTGCCCACCTAAATTATGTAGAAAAGAAATTGTCCCACTATATTATTAAAACTGAAACGCATTATCCAGCAAAGAATTTTACCGACAATGTTGAGATCCTGTGCCATTCTCCTCCTCCTTGTCTCTGTCTCCACCGCCCTGACCTGCTACAAATGTGCGGTATTTAACATGACAGTAATGACAGAGGAGCAGGCCGGTCAGATGACCGGAGCTCTAGTTCTGCTAGGTTAGTTTTTAAATTTATTAGTGTTTAAAAGTTGTCAGTTTATTAGTTGGTTAGTTTATTAGTTGGTTGGTTTTTTAGTTTGTTAAATTATTAGTATTTGTAAGTAGGTCATTACGCTTAATAAATGTGTTACATAATAGTAATTCTGTTTGGTAGAAGATTATCTGATGACTTGAAACATTTGGTTCTGACGAAAATCCAATATTATTATAACGTGACTCCAAATTTGGGCGGACCATTAACCTGCTAGTTCTCTAACTCATTACAGCTATTAGTATTAGAGACCAATTTCAGGGCACTGTAATCATCTAAGTAAGCACGAAGGTGTTAGATTGCCTGGTGTTTAATTGGCCCATTAGGGTAGTCTAAACTCTGATTTCCTTACAATTGCTGTACCAATTAGTTCCAAATCACCGTCCTCAAGTAGCCGAAAAGATCTGTTTGTCTAATTTGCATAAACTGTAACGTATCAAATCGTTTAGCAACCGCCTGTAAAGGAATGCAGACATTTGACCCGGTCCCCCAAAGCGTGAATTAACTGAGGAGGATGTGACAATAACAACTTGTCTCAATTTAACAACTTATATCGATAACAACCTGTCCCAATATCTTGTCTCAATAACAACTTGTCTCAATTTAACAACTTGTCTCAATAACAACTTGTCTCAATAACAACTTGTCTCAATTTAACAACTTATATCGATAACAACCTGTCCCAATATCTTGTCTCAATAACAACTTGTCTCAATAACAACTTGTCACAATAACAACTTGTCTCAATAACAACTTGTCTCAATTACAACTTGTATTAATAACAACTTATCTTTGATCAGGTGCGCCGAAGTGTACCATAATTGAGGAGGATGTTACTCAGCAATGTGAAGCTAATCAGGACCAATGTCAAAAGATATCTGTAAGGTATACTAAAATCTTTGTTGTAAGCAGTTTCAATTCAAGTTACCTGTTTCTGGTAACTTACATTCTCAAGTTACCATGCTTTGTGGTAACAGGTAGATTCTTATTAGCTTCCTGTGTTTGATATCTGCTCTATAAATACAGCTGTAAATAACCATTTTTGGTAACCTTAATTTAATTCTTTAAAGCTAACGTTCTGTTTATCACAGTTCTAAGCTCGGAGGAGATGAAGCCCATGATGGTTATCTCCTACAGTGTGGCCAGTCTTCATCAATCGAAAGTTTATGTCCAACTTATACGGGAATGGCTAGTAAGTGACAAAAGTTGATAGTCTTATAAATAACTAGCTTGTTGTTCTTTATCTCCTTTCTATTTCTAATAAATGGGAAAACAACAAAACGATCACTTTTTAGCAGCTTGATAAACCGAAATTCGTAGCTAATAGCAATTCCCAACATTTACACACAGTATTTATTTCACATGTCACATGACCATCGGTTTAACAAGAATTATGAGCTAACTAACGAAGATATCCTCAGAACTGGCAGGATTTATTATTGATGGCTGTTCATCTGAAGGGTGTGACTCCAGCAAGTGCTACGATCCAACCAGCGGAGCTACATTTTCTAACCACAATCTGTACATTCTGATCGCTTCTCTTGCTACTTTCATTTTAGCATCTCTGTAATTGTATAGGACCAAGATTTAAGAACGAAGATAAATGCTACACATTATTATCAATGATAAGAATAATAATTATAAGTAAAACTGGTGATAGGTGAATCACGCGACTCTTTTTTGTAAAATCAAATCTTAGCTAGGATATTAATCGTCATTTTATTAGGAAGATATGTTATTAGAAAGATAAAAGGGTAAACCACAGTAATCGATACGCGTATTGGTGGTGTAATTTTATTTCGCAAATAAAATGTGTGCAAATTTGTTCACTGTATTTTTTCAATTTGCCCATGGAACTTACATAATAATATATTTTATAATATTCATGTTATAATTTTGTTGTTGCTGTTTAACTTTACCTACGCAGTTACATGGAACGATATGATGTTTATATCTTTTATACACACTAGCAGGAAGATTTATAGTATTGAGGTTTTTTTCGTTCCGGAAAAATATCAAATTCTGAAACATTTTGATTCAGTATAGGTCCTAATATTAATTAATTTCAATTTCCTCAAGATATTGGGTGTGCAAATTGTACTTATTTGTAACATCAAACATAGTACCTGTACCTTTCTGTTTATATTGTAATTTGTTTAGGTTAATACGAGATTTAGATATCATTGTGTGCGTTAATCTTTTAATTAATTTTAAAATAATATGGCGATTTTTATTTTTTTAAATCCTTGCTGTGTTGTCATATGATTTTTCTTTACGATCGCACGATCCACTAATTTATCTACGTTCAAGGCAATCAAGGCAGAAAGACACAAAAACAAAATATTATAAAAATTTGTGATCTAAAAAGAAAATATCTAAACTAAAATCACATTTTAACTCAAATTGCGTGACATAATTATAAGTATAACAGTAACATGTATAATTAGATATGTCTTCAAGTATAAGTGAAACTTGACTTAGGGGCATAATACAAATTAAAAGGTGGTTATTGAAGTTTTTTTTATAAGGGACATTCAAATATTACAGACGTAATCACTTAAATTGCAAATCAAAGGGAAGGCCGGGATGTTTTAATTAATTTCGCTAGTGTAATTTTAACACTATATGTGTGAAACTGATCACGGAGGGGGGAGTTCAAAATTTGACCGAAAATGTATTCCACAATTTGTGATCAATTAATGACCCCAATCCTATTAATAGTTATAGTTTCGTTATGTTCATATCATGAGCTCCAAGTACCCACGTGGCTGTTTTTTGACCGTTCCAACTTGTATCACGTGGTGACCCCCACGGTGGTGACCCCCCTTCGACGCTACAGGGGGAGCCGCGCACTTCGTGCGCGGCGGGTCATACAACGTATGACAAGTTCCAACTAATCTATTCGGTAATACTAATCACTATACACTCATCGTCTCACTTTTCAAGTTTACTTTCGTTCCCCTCGCAAAATTATTCTACCAGGATTTTAACGGGTGATACTCGTAAAATATCTGTTCCATACAGGACCGTTTAATTGACGATGTCAATTCATGGCAGCTCGGCGCGGCACAGTAACGCATCGCGCTACAAAGGACCGTCGACGAGTCCAACTCGGCGCGCGTCCTAGTAGGTTACTAGGTTGTAAACCTACAACCAGGATTCTGCTTAGTCTCGCATATATATATGAATATCGCATGTTAACTCACATCAGCTCGCCGTTTTAGAAAGCTTGCGTCTTTATTAAGTTTAAAAAAGATATTCTCACCCTCTAAGAAACTCCTTGTATCACGTTGCGACCCCCACGGTCGTTGTAGCGCGATGCACTACTGGGTCGCGCGCGCATCCAATAATGCTTCTCGCAACGTATGCAGATCGGCGAGATGCGAAGGATTGACATCGTGAATCAACCACGGTCGTTTCACTATGAGTATGGTGACGATACACTACAGGGGAGCGGCGGGTCATACAACGTATGACAAGAAACTCCCGTTTGGAATGAACCTTGTTTTTGACGGATGTTACTCGTCTAAATTTCTTGATCGAAGTAGCGCGCGCCGCTTTCTTCTCGAAATGGCCGCTTTCTTCTCGAAATGGCCTCTTTCTTCTCGAAATGGCCCAATGGCAAGTGCTAGTGCTACGAAATAGCGCGCGCCGAGCCAGACCATTAACAATGGTCAAACCTTAAGTTTATTCTACTTTATATTATGTTTCCTTGTGTTTGACCTCTGTTTGAGTGTCAAAAATCTTAAATATGGGTGCTACTTGTGATGAACTCTAGAAGGATGGGATGGTACAAGTAATACTCGGTCTGGCCGTCTGGAAGTGGAAGCCCATATGCCATAGAATTCCAGTTCAGAAACTGAGTAAGGAGGTGGCAGGTGCAGCTACTGATGATCAGAAGCCTCCTAGTCCTTAAAGTTTATTTGGGTTAGAAACGACATTTGGGTCCCTACCCTCGCACATAATTATTTTTAATTTTCTTCTTGTGTTCCACAACTTTGGTTTCCGTATTTATGATTTAAGAATTAATTTTAGCGTCCCTCTTTGCTCTTTGACGAATATTTATCAGCATTCCGGTTCCCGTAATTGTTCAATGTTCACCCTTCTTGGAGCAGTTGACAGTGACACATATATTCTTAGAAGTTGACCAATAGTTTAACATGATCGTCGCATAGACATAACAATCATGTCATGTTAACCTGGTGACAAATATTCGTTAAACCAAACAGGATTTACAAATATTTACAAACAAAACACAACACAACTGTTAACAGTTTTGTTTTATTTGTAAATATCTCTACTATTTCCTTGTTGCTGTTTGATCATAATTCACCTCTCGTTCGATTATATTGGTATCATGAATATTGTATTGGCCGAAACAACTAGGAACCGACTGTCTGGGGTTTCGGTTTAGTTGTCAGATCACCGGAAATGCAGCCGGGTATAAATCTATTTTGCCGTTTGCCGTATTTTGCCGGTCAAGAACCGGCTGTTTAGTGCATTTACAGAAAAGGAAATTTCAAACTACCGGATCTTGCAGGAAATCTTAAATCATAATTAAGCTTTCTATTAAGATACCTGTTGACACACGTGCAACCCCTTTTCCCGTCCGGCAAATAGGGAGGGGGTGGTTTTGAAATTTCGGACAAATCTGGACAGAGGGAGGGAGGTTTCTGAAAATCCGGAAATTTTGGCAGAATTAACGAAAAAGTCCCATTTATTTCAACTCTTTGAGACTAGTTACTCTGTAAGTTTAGATCCCTGTATTTTGAACGAGTACTTAAATGTATTTAAATGTAACTGTGCTAAACTTCAAACTTGTTCGACACTAAATGTATTATTGTCTTTTTTAAGTAACTACACATTTTTATTAACCATGAATTTGAGTTGGTTTTATTTGTACTTTTAAAAGTAGCTGGAAATCCAGACGTCCGGGGGATCGGAGGGGGGGGGGGGCGTGGTCTGAAAATCTGCGATTTTGGCGGACGTCCGGCCTAAGTAGATGGGCCCTTAGGCCTTACTGCAACAAGTAGACCCATGACTTAAAAGTAGGTTCTTCAGCTCCAGTACAATGCATTACGTAACAAGGTTTGGTCTAAGAGTAAGTAGTGTTTCCAATATTTCGATAGGAAGCTGTCCATGTCTTTCAAGATAAAATGAAACCGCACCCTTATATCTCGAACTCAGAATACTACTAATATAGAATACCAAACCCATGACGTACGACCAAACCCACCAACGACTTATACATTCAAGGTCTAAATTGTGTTATAGGCTAGTTTTAAAGTTGAAAATCGAAAAGTTTGAAGTTGCACACGTGGGAACACGCCCAAATTGATTTAAAATAGCTAATATCACTGAAAATTGCTATTTTCACGATTTTTATCAACTTTGGAGTCCCGTTGTGATCCTAGTTCTTTTTGAAATCTTCTGAAATTTTGCATGCTTATCAAACTATATATACAATACCACTATGCAAAAATTTACGGTGATTCAATATTGTATGCGCACGCAACGTCCGCTCAAAGTTTGCACGGGCAAAAGGTGCAGAGAATTTTGCTCATTCGTGATTTCGAATATATTCTATTTCTGCTTTCCCACGATATTTAAATGGCATTATATATGAATTTAATGCCAACTTGAATGATTAAAAAGTGCCATATTCAGTCTGTTATCGACAGATATGCATACCTAAAAGAGTAAAACAAGGAAACGTTTTCAAAGGTAAAATTTCGAAATCGTTCAAAGTACCTCCTTATTAATGAAGTTTCGACTGTGTAAATTATACGAAACTCGAGAGACTGTGGGATACTGAAGGAAAAGAAGCAGTTCTAACGAGCGCTTCTCAAACACAAGGATATATCTTGTGAACTTGGTTAGTATATATGAAACATTTGACATGGAGTTGTAGAGTGAGTGCGCTCGCTTTTCGAGTTTTCCCATTCATTCACGGCTTACGAATTGTAATAAAGCTTACTGAATGGGAAAAGCGAGCGACCGATTTCATTCTCGGTATCAATTTGCATTTGCGGACGGTTCCTCAAATTAATATCATTTTCTTTTGTTTGGAAAAGAGAGACACTGGCAGCGGTTCACTCTACCCATGACTATGGGTTTTGGTCAAATCATATAAGCGATTCTACCTTTTAGTTTTAGTCTTTTATAACGGCGTACACAGCTTATCTGCATTGATTGTTAGTGCAATACATGTTGTTAATAATGATTTGTCCTTTCTATTCTGTATTTGCTTGTTGGTTTTAGTTCAGTACATGATAAATCAAATGTCACTTATCGAGAGACCGCAATTTGTATTCGAAACTCACACGTGACACGGCCCCATCCGTAAAAAAGTACGCAACTAAACCATTTAGAATAGAAACTGTCCCACCATATTATTATTATTAAAACTCTAAGTCTAACGCATTATGATTATCCAGCAAAGAATTTTACCGACAATGTTGAGATCCTGTGCCCTTCTCCTCCTCCTTGTCTCTGTCTCCACCGCCCTGACCTGCTACAAATGTGCGGTATTTGACATAGCTGCAATGACAGAGGAGCAAGGATCTCTTATGGGCACCGTTCTAACACTGCTAGGTAGTTTTTAAATTTGTTATTTTTTAAAAGTTGGTAATAAGTTGTTTGTTTGTTAGTTCATTAGTTTTTGTAAATTGTTAATTATGCTGAGTAAAACTAAATGTGTTTCCCGACCTCATTGTATTTGAAAAAATAAAATATACTACGAAATTATGTGATGACTTGTTAAAGTTATCGGATAATTAAACCTGTCTCAAAAACAACTTGAAACTTGTCTCAATTAAGACTTGTCTCTGATGAAGTGATCAGGTGCGCCGAAGTGTGACTCAACTGAGGATGATGTTACTCAGCAATGTGAAGGTAACGAGGATCAGTGCCACAAGATATCTTTCAGGTAGACTAAAAGTAAAATCCTTCTTTAAGCGTTTCCTGTTGCCATTTATTGGTTACCGTTTTGATCGATGATCAACAGCTTGAGCATTAAGTTTGTAACAAAATGTAAGCAGTAATTATTAGTAATCATTTTTGGTTGATTGATTCATTAAAGTTAGTTAAAGTTCTGTTTATCACAGTTCTAAGCTCGGAGGAGATGAAGCCCATGATGGTTATCTCCTACAGTGTGGCCAGTCTTCATCAATCGAAAGTTTATGTCCAACTTATACGGGAATTGCTAGTAAGTGAAAGAAGTTGCTTGTCTTATAAATAACTAGCTTGTTGGACTTGACATCATTTCTATTTCTAATGGGAATCCAATCCGGCATACATTGTACATTATATAGATTTACAGTCGAGTTGGTCTCCCATTGAATCGCTAGCCCAAATTATTAAAAAATTCTCGGGAAAAGGCCCTGAGGGTGTGAAAGTAATCTGGTTCGGTGTATTTTTGGACGCTGATTTCGAATCACCCCCGGTCCCCATGACGTAGGGTAAAAATGCTTCCCTAGAGAGTTGTGGGCAAAAAACTATTTTGGTCACGTGACAGGCTAGTAAAACACGAATTCGATTACTTAGGGCTCGGTTTAGGGTTATGGATAGCTTCGGGGTTATGGTTAGGATAAGAGTTTATTTAAAACCGTTTTAATAAAACAAATATTTAATAAAACAAATATTTATTTTTACGGCACAATCAAACAATATCAATAATAAATAAATCAGGGGAGGTTTGAAGAGGTTTCAAGTGCCGAAGGCCACTGCTTATCTTTAGGATTTGAGAGTGACCTGTGCTTGAAACCCCCTCAACCATCCACTACGTCAATAAACTCATTATACAAATATAGAAAAATATAATTATCTAAGCTAAAATTGCTTATTGGTCTAGTTTGGTGACATAGGAGAGCCCAGTTGAGTTTTAGTTTAGGTTTATGTTTTAAATCATAGTTTGAAAGGTTAGCCATGTTTCATGGCAGAGAGAGATATCATGTGTGCAGAGCCGTACCGGATGTAGAATTTGAGATATAATATAGATTAGTTACCATATATTAGGGTCACCTCGATTTTGGAGGGATAGCAAGTGCTTTTTAAGGTTAGATTTAATAATACCTGACGAGGCTGATAAGTCTGAAATTTTGGAAGAACCCGGGATTATTATCCCATCTTCATTAGCATCACATATTTCGAATACATAGGGGATGAGATCATTCCAAATTTTCGTAGAGGTGTACAAAAAGTTCTGTTGGGAGATATCTAACCTCAGTAATGGGACAATCAGACGAAGTTTTTCATTTCTAGGACAGAACTTGAAAAGATCTTTAATCGACTGGGGGACATCAAATTTAAGAATTTTGAATAGTTCCATAAATGTATGGTACATGTGCAGATTCTCCAGGTTGATAATTTTCTGCTCAGTGAATAGCGGTTTAGTGTGTTCAAGACAGTAGTTCTTGCTAGCCATATGTTCGTTATAAGTTCTTGAACGTGCACAGCTTAACCTAGGTTAAGTAGTATTCTTTATGATCAAAATTAGGAATGTTACCAAATAGCAGTCTTATACATCGTTTTTGAATTGCAAAGATTTTATTCAGCTTATATTTAGGGATCCCACCCCAGCAACTTATACAATAGCTAAGATGTGACATAAAAAGAGCATTGTATAGTTTCAAATATTCAGATTTGGGAATGAATTTGCAAATTCTCTTAATCGATACAATACTGGAGTTCAGCTTTAAAGATAAATGATTAAGATGTGGTTCCCAACATAGCTGTTCGTCTATTATCACCCCAAGAAACTTTGTACATTGAACTTTTTCTAGCTTTTTGCCATCTATTGAAATCGTTAGATTCCTGTTAAAGGGCCGTGTTCTGGCACAGGTCTGTGTTGCTCTTGACAAACCTGGCTGAAAATGCATATAACAACTTTTCCCTGCAAAAGTTAGGCTATTATGTTCATAAACATATGAATAGAGATTCGGCGGAATGACAGGCTGAGTAAGTTTTGTTCGGCTGCAAAACCGTAAAAACCAAAGTCACGTGATAATTCAATTGGGCGAGCGAATTAGTAAGAGCCGTCTTTAACACAACAAAACAATCACTTTATACAGTTTATAGCTACTTCAATTTGATAAACTGAGATTCGTTGCTTATACCAATCCCCGATTTTTACACCCGGTATTTATTTCAGTTAGTCATGTCACATGACCATCGGTTTTACAAGAATTATGAGCCAATCTAATGAAATATCCGCAGGTCTGATGGGATTTGTTATTGATGAGTGTACAACTACTACAATTTCAGCAACTGCTTCATAATTCAATTCGATTATAATTCAATATTAAGTAATTTGTTTCCAGAAATGGAATAAATTTTTCTTGAAGAGATTAATTTTAAAAAATATTGCATAAATTTGGGGTCGTTCACATATTAAGTAATCACTTTTTGGACAATTTTTACCCCCCCCCCCCCCTCCTCCATAATCAGTTTTACACATAGCTATTGTGTCAAAATTACACAAGCGTGATCATTTGGAAATCCCCCCTCCCCCTCGGCTGATTACGTAATATCGTCACCTACAAATAGAAAGGGCCTATGTCGACACAGGCCCTTTTAAAAAACTATACCAGCACGAAAATCTGTGGAACCATACCTACCATATCCCCAAATACAAAGTCAATTGGGTGAAAATTGAATATCCTTAATTTGTTAAAAGGGCCTATATATTAACATAGTCCTTTTTCAATAAACTGAACTGCTACTGATATTGATAAAATAAAAGGGCACATGTCGACATAGGCCCTAACAAATTGTTGGAATGTGATGCTCAAAGAAATAAATTTGAAAGTTAAAAGGACCTATGTACACATACGCCCTGTACAGTGTACCGATGCTCACATGTAAGATGTTTCAATTAATTAAGAGGGGCCTATGTAATTGTATCGAATGTTGTTTTAAGTAAGCCTATGTCAAAATTAAATCAATTACCCCAATTAATCGAAAAGCTTCAGGAACATTTTCAGAGTGTAGGCCAGTCATTCTTTCCATTTAGGATACATAGAAATCAAATTCAAATGCCTATCCTAAAATTAATTTCCATAAATAGGTTTTTATGCATTATCTCAAAACGACTTTTTTCGACATAAGCCCTTTCTATTTGTAGGTGACAATATGTGAACGACCCCTTTGTAAAATGTTACGAGATTTTGGTATCATTGCATGTGTGCGTTTATCGTTCAATAAATTAAAAATAATACGGAGTTTTTTCTTTTTTAATTCTTCATGTCTGTGTTGAAATACGACTTTCCTTTACAATCGCACGGTCTACTCATTTTTCTCATTTCTAGGTTAAAGGCACCCACTACGAGCCGCACGTAGAGCAAAATGTTCACCTTGAGTATGGGAAGGTTTAATGCATATTTTCAAATAGTTCATTACTACTTAAGGCGTGATTCATTACATTTACAGCCAAAATAATCTTGTAGCACATTCCTGAGACTCGGAATGTTGACTTGAAAACAGTTTTTATTCTCTGCTCTTCGTACCAGCCTCACAGTTCTGTTAAACATGTTGCTACACGTTAATGTATAGTGCATACGGATACCTCTGTCGGCCGGCGCGCGAAAAGGGGTTGCAACGTGTTTCAAGTTAAACACTACCGAGTGCCTCGGTCGACAGAACTGGAGGTCCCACTGTACTGCCGCGGATCTTATCCGGCTGATAAATGATAATCCTATAGGTCTACTCCAAACTAAGCTCCATTCATTCGAAATCTTTACTGTAGTCTGTAGTAGACATGTTCAGAAAAGAAACAACATTTTCAATAAAACTCCGAGAAAATTGTGCATTTAAACAATAATAGCGATTATTAATTAGTGTTAAATCCTAATTAATTAATTAATTGGGATCGAGCGGTATAATTGCTCATTTTAAAAACATTTACAAAAGTCATTCACTTTCATTTCACAATCTCTCAAATATCTTCATCTGTAAATCTAAAAAGTGACTATCACGCCCGATTTAAATTAAATAATGTGCCTTCTGACCGATAATATAAATAAGGCCCACGTACCTGGCATGCCAGACCCCTAACTGTGCACGCCTCCTTCCCATGAATACACTTCTTTAATTGTCAGTGTATAGTGAGCGAAAAGATCAGCAAGTGATCTTTCAACTTTGTCTATACACCCGGATACTGGTGGAGGCGTGAGCCATGTATTATTTGCTACAGAATATCTCTTTAATATTAATTATGAAGTATTTCAGGACATATTCTGTTTCAGAATCATAATTTCTAACATTCTGCATTTTGAACGGTAGATGGCATGTTTTATCGATGTTTAAATTGTAAATTTTATTTATCTTTCTCAAAAATATGGCTCAACCCACCATCAGTCTATTAATCAAGTCTACTTTTCTCATTTTATAACTATATTATGTATTCTCTAATTTTATATTCGTACTTTCTAAATCGACCAGTGCAAGTATTTTTTACCGTGATACTAATACTAATAGTGATACCAAAAATCATCCCTCTCACTCTTAAACGTATTCTGTAGATCAAATTTTCTATGTGTACTTGCTCGATCGGAAAGTGCACGAAATTATTAATCGTGATACTACCAAAAATTCTCTGAAGAAAACATTAATTAAATCAAACTACTTCGAAATATCTTGACTGATAAAATTGTCATATCCATTAATTCATTAAAAAAATCATCAAATAGGCTTGCAGTTTAACCTACGTCTCTTAAATAAAGTTCATCGTTAGACATAATCAATAATCCGCGAACAAATTGACACGTGTTCTCTAAAGAATCTTCTCTTCTAACATTCTCACAACAAATCAGCTGATATTATCCATAGTTTCTTGTCCTGTCTTGATACTCAGACATCTTTGTTATTTATCACGTGATTCGTTGCTATAGAGTCACGTGATGCGTTGCTATGGAGTCACGTGATGCGCGCAGCGGCGTTTCACGTGGGGGGGGGGGGGGCTTCATTTGTCACGTGGGCACGCTGTTCATACAAAGGACTGATGATATCGTGTTTGAAACTGTTTTCTTGTTCGACAGAACTGAAGAAAAATTAAATAAATATCAAAGAAAGAGAATTGTTACGCTACTCTAATCACAGAAAGCAGAATCATCTTATTGTTGACTGATTGAAGCAGAACTAACTTGATCATTCAGTATTGTGGGCTGAATATAGTGAAATATACATTCAACATCCCATGATATAATTACGAAAAGTAATAATAATATAACATATTAAATCATATATCGCATATATAATACTCACGTGACAGTCGGGAATTGTAACGAGGAAGATTAAATATTCTACATAGTTGCGCTGTACTGATTCTCTCGTGCGGGTCTGTGTGCCACATTTTATTCGTTATCACTATTAACTGAAATTGTAGTGTTGCAACTTTGCAATTTGGAACGTTATTTGGAACGTTATTTGGAACATAATTTAGAACGAAACATGAAATTCTTCGTTTCTTCTCAGATGGCAAGGTTTGGATTTAGGTGGAAAGAATAAAAAAGCTCATTCAAAGATACGTCGTCATCTGCCAGTACTAAAGGGAAATATAACAAGAATTTATAACAAAAATATTATAATTAAAAGAAGAGCTTACCGATTTGATGATAGGAGAAATGGTGGTCCAGTGTGCTGCGATGGGCGGTCTGAATTTAATGTTATTCCTGTACATGTTGCGCATGTAGTCTCTAACAACCTGGAGATAGTGAATGTTGAAACTGAAGCACAATTATATCAATATAGTAGAACATGACGTCATTATAATGCTCGGTGACGTCATCATAGCACCACGTGATGTCATCATAATACCACGTGACGTCATCACAACACCACGTGACTTTACTCACACTTGACGAGGTGGAGGTGGAGCTAATATCAGGGAATCTATTCAACAGGTATGCCCCGTACGCCGTATGGTTCTGTATCTGACACCGGGGTATGGTGGTGGTGGTGTAGTCTGAGGGGTGCGGGCGAGAACTGGGGCTCATCTTGGAGGTCTGAAGGAGAGGTGAGTGTTAGTAGTTAGATAGAAGATCTTCAAATGAAGACGTAGCAAAACATGAATATATATAATCAAACAAGTCCCGTCACCAAATAACACGCAAGTTAAAAAATTAGCGTCATCACCATATCACAACGTGACGTCATAACTACACCACGTGACGTCACCACTTCAACACGTGACGTCATCACAACACCACCACTCACCTCGTGTCGATTGTGAGGCTCATTGTGCTTGCAGCACACATAAGACAGCAGCTCCCAACTAACAAGGGACATACTGTACACGTCTGCTTTGTAGAGGTTTATCCTCTCTACTCCGGTGGAGAGCAACACTTCTGGGGCGGTGTATTGGGAGGTGCCTCCGCTACCGTCCCTGGGGGAGAAGGGTGTTAAGGTATCAATAACAAAATAATAATATTGAAATAATATTCATAAATTATAAATACTATTTCACTAAAGATGAGAGGGGTGGATTACATATTTGTGCAAGCGATTATCACATTACGATTCCCTTTGGGGAGCCGGACTCTATAGTTCATAAATGGTGGGAGGGCTGGATCGAGTTATAAGCTAACCAACCTGACATAACAGTCCTGTCTGTGTTTCTCTTGACTATGCCCAAAGTCAGACACCACCAATTTAAAAGGGCAGGAGTTTCCCGTCTTGGTACCGGGCCTGCTACCCACTAGAATGTTCGCTGTTTTTAGGTCTCTGTGGAATACCTCCAGGTCGTGGAGATAGGACATTCCGCTGATAATGTCCTGAGCAGTGGAATGTTATGGTGGAATGTTATGGTTTAGCAGCGGGAAGTCAAAAAACTAGTGAATCAGAAAGATGATTTATTCATTTGCAGTAGATGAACAGGCGTTTTAAAGTCATAACCGCCATTTTTATTATGAAAACAGGCGAACCGTGTCATGTTAGAAAGAGTGTTAATTTCAGCAAATAAAAAGAAGAAACAAATAAAGAGAAGAAACAGCGGTTGTTTTTTAATTTCTAACTCACCCTCATAAAGGATTGAGCCCAGCTATCCCTCATCAAGTAATGACCGCGGGATATTAAGAAGTCCTTCAGAGACCCATAGGCGTAGTACTCGGTACAAAAATAGCTGGAAAATAAAAATAATTATTTTCCAAGATACATTTGTAATCGTGATGTATATTTTAATTTGCACCACATTATGAAGTTAAATAACTTTATACCGCAGAATGACGTCACCACAACACCACGTGACGTCACCACAACACCACGTGACGTCACCACAACTCACTTGTTTCTGACGGACATGACACTCTGGAGGTGTGGTGACATTCCTCTGACGTGGGGTCTGTTTCCCATACTCCTCCAGAGGTACTCACACACGTTGTCATGTGATAGCACTGAGATAACGTTCAGTTCGTCCTCCATGTGTTTTCTTTTCTTGTCTGTGTAGCATTTTATTACACCTGAAGAGGAAAAGAGATTGGAGAGAGTATGTTTTAGAGCAACAAACAATTACTTAATATTTATCTCCAATTATAGTTTACAATTAAATTTCATTAATTTTTATTGATTGGACGCCTTGTTTTTAAATCATAGTTGACCAAATAATTTAGGCGTAAAACAATACATATCTAAACTATGATACTTTTAATAAAATAAAATGACTTTACAAAAATACAACATGAAATAAACAACTTCGGGGCTACTTTATCTAAAGACTAGCTAAAAACACTTTATCTATATCTTTAAAAAGATGAATAGATCACTCACCAAAATAAAAGAAAATATAACTACAAAAGTACAACACGAAACTACTTAATCTAAATTTCACTCAAAGTTGAAACTCTTCCGCCAACCCCAACCAATGTTCACAACAGAAAGTGGGTGAAAAGTCATTAACTGGTACCCCCTTCTTGAACTCCTCACTGGTAAACCACTCCTGTAGCTGAGGTAAATCCTGGAAGTGCTGTAGAAGTCTACCAATATTAGTTGCTTTGGCTACATGCTCCGGAGCAAACTTATCTATTTGACTTACAAACTCAAACACCATAAAGTCGACATAGGTCAACTTTTCACCCAACACAAACGGATCACCTTCTCCAACAAACTTGTCCAGAACCCCCAGCTTCTTCTCCAAGTTCTCCAAATATTCCGGATCCATTTCCTTAAACTTCTCCACCTCAAAACATATATCCGTGAAAGCTGCTCGGAGATCTGTTACTTCCTGTTCAATCATCTCACACTTCACTATTGTATATCTCCTTCATTATCTCCTGGCACCAGTCCAAACTTCCTGCCCAAATACCTGATGATAGCCACGCTCTGAGTTATCTTTATATCACCGTCTATCAGATAAGGAAGATTTGGCAGATCCAATCCTAGATTGTATTTCTCTGCCTTCCACCGAGTGAACCCTGTTTTATCCAGAGGATCTTGGTCATCTTTCCAGCTCACACCGGAGTATCTGAGTATAAGGCGGGATATCTCACCCATAGCACGCACATTCCAGTAGCAGAGTGTTATTGACATTCCTTCTACAATCATGTGAAATAATCAGGTTAGAATATAGGCTGACTTTTTGCCGCATTGCAATTTGCAGCACGAATAAAAAGTATAAAAATGAAGATAAATTGTTGCAAACCTTTCTTTTTGTTTCCAATACCGTCCACCCAGTGAACTAGAGCGATAACTTCATCTTCAGAGGACTTCCACCGGGACGAGAGAACTCCCTGAAAATGGGAACTTTTAGATCTCTGATTTTTAATCTCTCGAGATATGTTATTAAAGTGAGTGTGCAAGTTAAAGTATACAATTAGTTAGGGCAAGAGTTGATTTTTCTGTGAACAAATTCGTAACAAAGGTTTGTATACAGGAATGTGTTGTCCATAGTCCCAGGAACCACAAAAAAAAACTTTTGGGCAAACATTTTTATAGTCATTTTTCTCCAGGAACCCATACGCCCCACCCCTAATATTGGTTATTCGACTCCCGAAGCACTTGAGATCTCCAAAGGGGATGCAAAATGACCGCAATGGCCACATTATGGCAGGCGAATGATAGTTTCAGAACGATTGGGGCTTTATTTTTCGAAATAAATGGAATTTTTCTAAATTTTTCTCAATTTTATTGAAATTTCGAAAAAAAATACACCAAATTATTCTTAACGCTTATTTCAAATCTATTTCAAAACTCATCTACAAATAACAAATACAGTTAATCTAAAATGTGTATTCTCAGTAAATACCATGACAATTATTAATACACAGTTAATATTAATCAAAATTCGCTTGTTCTTCAGGTTCATCATGTCTAATGTTTGTGCAGTTCATACCATGGCATCGTACACAAATATTGAAGCCATATTTCCTACATGAACATCTGAAAGTCAAACAGGCCTGTTCCACATCGACAGAACAGTTACAACATATAAGGTTCAAAATAGACTCTGGAGCATTTATAGCTTTTGTTGCAACTGGTTCGTAAGTGCCACCAGGAGCCAATTTCCAGCCGTAGTCAAGAGGATTCAGACTGTCAGCGTTGAGCATGACCCAGTTATGGTACTGTAAGTAAGCTCTAAGGATGTGCTCCGTTGCTGAAGCTATTGTTGGAGGTAGCCTATTCGGATTGAGACTCTTTTTCGCTACCATCCTATTGTATGCTAGGAATCTCAAAGCAGAAAGAGTCTTTTTCTTGTCACCATAAATGTACTGCAAGAAACAGAGGCCTGCCTCAATAATCTTTTCTTTTGATTCTAACACCGAAAGTAATGTTGCCAACTGACCTTGCTCATCAAAGGTGAGAGCTTTCTTTAGCACTTTAATTTTTAACCTTACTAAAACCAAACAGTCCACTGACGCTATCACAACCTGAAATACTATGAATTAGAAGAAGTATCTCCTTTTCTTTATGATCTAGATGACTTGATATTTCTTTGATTGAATATGTACCCTTCTTCGTTGTTAGATAAATATCATTGTGATGGTCACTGTTGAAATGATGTACTAATAGACAAACTATATCGGTATCCTCTGCCTTCAATTCAACATCGCCAAGGAATGACATTTCCAATGTTTTCTTTGCAATTAAAGTATCAGCATCGTTACAAGCTCTGATCACTTCAATACCATTTACAGTAAAAATGCTTGAGATAAGGTCGATCAGTTCTTTTTTGTTATTGTTGTTGCTCAGAAATGTTGTTTTGGTGACAGTACAAAAGGTGGATTTCTTTACAGCAATATTAGCACAGAACGCTTTTACTCTCCTCTTGTGCTCGTGATCTTTAGTAGAAGGCTCATATCCATCAAAAATCACAATAACTTCCCGATTTTTTGGGATAAGCTTCAGCCAACCTCCATCAATGACTAGTGGGATCGTGAAGCTGCAAGATTTAAGTGTAGATTGGTTTATGTTTTTGAGGTAGCTACCAAGAGCAGCCTTATTAGATTTCCTCATCATCTGATATTGATCAAATAAGCTCATCGGCACCACAGTTAACTCGTATGTTAGGCATTCCTCTATTGAAGTTTCTCTATCAGCAACCAAGACTAGACGGTTAAAACACTTCAACGGATCGACTGCAACGCTTTTATTATTCACTTTAACCTGCTTTCTTAGTTGTGTCAAGTTCTTTGCTTTACCTTTGATACTTATCTTATCGATGAATGTCAACCCATCTAGCTCACGTTGAAGGACAGCCCCAACGGCCAAACATTCCTCGGGATTCACCTCATCGTTCCCAGACTGTGATATAAGACCAGTCGAAAAAGATATTAACTTAGTCTTATCTTCGGATTCTGTAAAGTCGACAATAACTTTAAACCAAGTTAATAATTTTCCAAATACATCACAGTTTTTCTTGATTGATGACTTGGTAAGATCTGAGTGGATGGCAGCTTTAGTTGGTACTAAAGCTAATTCAGTACCAACTAGTTGGTAGTTGGTACTGAATTAGCTAATGAATCTCCAAAAGACTGATTTATTAAAGCCATCTGATTCAGGGTGGCCACCTATAACTTGTGAGCGGACTCACGATTACGCATCCTTCCACTTGTTAATCTACCACTAGATTTACCTGCCCTCATAAGGCTCTGCTCTATGGAGAGGTCAGTCCACACCCCGGCCCACTCGTGGTCGTTGTAAAGTTGTAACAAACCGTGTGAAGCCCAGTTACTTTAAAGGTCTTTAAAAGCACCCCATACTTGACTTCAAAAATAGCATCCTGCTCCAAATACAGTCTTAAAGCTTTTGCATACTGTCCCCTACCAGCTGCTGCGAAGTAGGGCAGCATCAAAGCTACTGCTGATAAGTGCATATTGTAGTCGTGCAACCTCTCTGCTCTTATGAAGTCCTTTACTAGTGTTATCATGTTGTGGTAAGTAACCCATAGAGCTGATGTTCTACTGTTGGAAAACAGGTTCTTTAGAAGCAGAGTTATTTTCTCTGATAAATCCTGAATAGATTTAGTCTTAAAGTTAACACCTAGATTTTCGTTCACACATTTGTCGATGTAATCTTCCAAGTCTACTAGTTCATCGTCGTAAACTTCTTCCTCTATAATGAAACAACAAAGAGCGGCGTCGATTTAATGTACCCCATACAGTTTTTTTTCTACTTTATTCATATTATTTATCATTCTTATCTATACTACGTTTATGTCTCTTTTTATCACCAGCCCTATTTTTCTTATCTGAATTTTCTCTTTTCGTAAACAGTTTTCTCTCATCACAATTTGTTCTTTAAATCTGCTGTTGTTTGTTAGTTAACCTTGATATTTGTTAATTGAAGTTATTTCCCGAGTAAGATTTGAAATAAGCGTTAAAAATAATTTGGTGTATTTTTTTTCGAAATTTCAATAAAATTGAGAAAAATTGAGAAAAATTCCATTTATTTCGAAAAATAAAGCCCCAATCGTTCTGAAACTATCATTCGCCTGCCATAATGTGGCCATTGCGGTCATTTTGCACCCCCTATAGAGATCTCAAGACCTTCGGGAGCCGAATAACCAATATTAGGGGTGGGGCGTATGGGTTCCTGGAGAAAAATGACTATAAAAATTTTTGCCCAAAAGTTTCAGCTGGACAGTTTTTTTTGGTGGTTCCTGGGACTATGGACAACACATTCCTGTAGACAAACCTTTGTTACGAATTTGTTCACAGATTGACCCATAAACAGCAATTCTTGCCCTAACTAAATAAGAAAAGTATTTTTTGTGGGGGCTGACTATATTAAAGTATATTAAAATGTAGGTATTTTTGCCGATTTGACCCCGGGAATATACTTGAACACACTTTAATATAAAGGTTATATCCCCAATTTTGTTTGCAGGTAAAGCTGTAAGGGGAGGGAGAGAGAAGCAGCTAGAAGTATCGTGATCAAATTAGACCTTGTATATATTTCAGATAGAGTTGCTGCAGGCCACTGTGCTTTATGGTACGGCACCAGTTTGTCGGGCACGTGATAACCGAGTGACGAAGTCACGAGGAACAGTCACTTGATAGATAACGTGACCTATGTTAGCCAGCGAGAAGGGCTGGATTTCATGCTCAAGCAAAATTAGATTCACAATTCACATCATTATAGTTTGAGAGAACAGCAAGGGTTTTACCTGGGAAGTGGGGACCCCAGGCTATAATGTTCATATAATGTCCAAGTTCTATAACTTACCTTAAAGTTTTATAGGCCATATTTCCGAGTGTCTTCGTGGTTTAAATATTTGTGGACGTGTAGTAAGATAAAGCCCCAAGTCATGTAATCAAATTAAGAAATAGACTGAACAATTCGATTCGTTAACTGCTGCCCCCTTTTAATTCGATTTTCTTTATAATTTTATAACGCTTTTGAAAATTCAGGGTTTTTTATAAATTCAGCTTATAATGGTAATCTTTCTTCGCTCTTATACTTGTTATAAGTGTGTCGATGGTTTAATAGTTCGTCGACAACTATCAAACTAAATTCTGTTTATAATACTAAATAATCATGGATGGGTTGCAGAATAATTAGGTTTTGATACAATTATTAACTTATATAATCATTGACAAATAAAGTTTTTTGATACAACCACAGTGATATCACTGAAGAAAATATAAACATCATACATAATATTACATTGTCAACTCGAACATAAAAATGCGCAATATGTATAAAATATACACTGTTCAACTAGTTCTTGGCACGGTTAATGCACGGTTAATGCATGGTGAAGGCACGGTTAAGGCACAAGGGTTACATAAGGCAAGGTTGAGGCACGGTCACTTAATGCACGGTTAACGCACAAACTGCCCATAAGCAACCATTATGGTTGCTTAAGGCACGGTTAACGCACGGTTAACGCACGGTTAACTAAGGCACATGATCTGAATGTGACGATCCAGACTCTTCAAATTAAGTTAACATCTCCTGAGCAAGAATCCCGAGATTCATGCTTACTAATTATGTACTCACTAGACGGAAATTTTCTTCTTCTTGTTACTATAGTTCATCTACCACAGTCCTGAATACACATTATCTTATCTCATGGAATGAGATATTCATGGAATGTGTGGCTGTAAGTGTCATTGTCAATTGTTACTATAGTTCATCTACCACAGTCCTGAATACACATTATCTTATCTCATGGAATGAGATATTCATGGAATGTGTGGCTGTAAGTGTCATTGTCAATTGTTACTATAGTTCATCTACCACAGTCCTGAATACACATACCTTAGTTCCCAAAAATTTGTGTGCCATTATATTGAGCACAATTTATTTGAGCCCGAAAAATTTGGGCAGAAAATTTGAACTCATTTGGGCGACCGAAAATTTGGGCACAAATTCTTCGAAAAATGAACGATTTTCCACTAAAATTTCAGTTAGATATTTGCCTTAGTTCATTATTACTCCTTATAGTTATTATTCCAGTCATTTGCTAGCTATTCCAGTTATTTCTATTCATTTAAAATATAAGCCTTTTTACTTGGTCAAGCCATGAATGACAGATTAGAAAACCAAAATTTCAAATATTATTTCACTTGGATATGAAGAAAAAGCCATCTTTCTATAGATTTCAGGGCCACAGGCCAAATGCCAAAAGTTTGGTTAGCAAAAAATTTGGCAGACGGAAAAGATTTATGCAATTAATTTGGTCTGCAAAAAATTTGGGCGAGAGGCCCGCTCAAATTTTTTGTCGCCCAAATTTTTGGGAATTAAGGTATCTTATATCATGGAATGACATATTCATGGAATGTGTGGCTGTAAGTGTCTTTGTCAATTGTTACTATAGTTCATCTACCACATTCCTGAATACACATTATCTTATCTCATGGAATGACATATTCATGGAATGTGTGGCTGTAAGTGTCATTGTCAATTGTTACTATAGTTCATCTAACACAGTCCTGAATACACATTATCTTATCTCATGGAATGAGATATTCATGGAATGTGTGGCTATAAGTGTCATAGTCAATTGTTACTATAGTTCATCTACCACAGTCCTGAATACACATTATCTTATCTCATGGAATGAGATATTCATGGAATGTGTGGCTGTAAGTGTCATTGTCAATTGTTACTATAGTTCATCTACCACAGTCCTGAATACACATTATCTTATCTCATGGAATGAGATATTCATCGAATGTGTGGCTGTCGGTATCATTGTCAATTGTTACTATAGTTCATCTACCACAGTCCTGAATACACATTATCTTATCTCATGGAATGAGATATTCATGGAATGTGTGGCTGTAAGTGTCATTGTCAATTGTTACTATAGTTCATCTACCACAGTCCTGAATACACATTATCTTATCTCATGGAATGAGATATTCATGGAATGTGTGGCTGTAAGTGTCATTGTCAATTGTTACTATAGTTCATCTACCACAGTCCTGAATACACATTATCTTATCTCATGGAATGAGATATTCATGGAATGTGTGGCTGTAAGTGTCATTGTCAATTGTTACTATAGTTCATCTACCACAGTCCCGAATACACATTATCTTATCTCATGGAATGAGATATTCATAGAATGTGTGGCTGTAAGTGTCATTGTCAATTGTTACTATAGTTCATCTACCACAGTCCTGAATACACATTATCTTATCTCATGGAATGAGATATTCATGGAATGTGTGGCTGTAATTGTCATTGTCAATTGTTACTATAGTTCATCTACCACAGTCCTGAATACACATTATCTTATCTCATGGAATGAGATATTCATGGAATGTGTGGCTGTAATTGTCATTGTCAATTGTTACTATAGTTCATCTACCACAGTCCCGAATACACATTATCTTATCTCATGGAATGAGATATTCATAGAATGTGTGGCTGTAGGTGTCATTGTCAATAGTTACTATATAGTTCATCTACCACAGTCCTGAATACACATTATCTTATCTCATGGAATGAGATATTCATGGAATGTGTGGCTGTAAGTGTCATTGTCAATTGTTACTATAGTTCATCTACCACAGTCCTGAATACACATTATTTTATCTCATGGAATGAGATATTCATAGAATGTGTGGCTGTAGGTGTCATTTTCAAATTGAAATAGGTATTCCGGAAAGTTCATCTGCCACATCTTCGACGTCGTCGTCTCATCGTGGTTGTCTTCGATTCTAATTTCTTACAAGTAAGTTTCCTAATTGTTCATCTGCAACTTTCAGGACATAATTAACGGGTCAAGGAATCTTGACCCGTAATTATAAGTGATTTGAGAGTTTGAATTACCAACGACTTATTTAATACGATTCAGTAGCAAACAACACTACAGCAAAATGCACACTGCACTCAACTCCTCTCTGCAATTTATCAATAGAATTCAAGTTTAATTCAATTCTCTTTCTGGGATATAAAGATAAATAATATATTATATAAATAATATATATATGAATAATATAAGTAATAACCATAATTGGGTTAGCGGGGTAAGATTCGCTGTCCTTTTATACTATAATCTTATTATGGGAGGGGGCACTATTTGCAGGGTCTGTTTGGACTGCAGAGAGAGTTCATACTTTCATACGACAAGGGGCAGGTGTGGTGAGGAGTTAACAAGGGTTAATTTCTAAAACGATTTAAATAAAAATGGAAAGTGGTTCAATACGGGAGTGGTGAGGTGTAATAGTCGGTGTTCGGACCTTATGATCATGGAATGTGGTGCCTAATAATGACTTAATTATCCACGAGAAAGTAATTAGTTTCAGGAGGCAGGACTTACCTCGAAGTAAATAGTTTCAGGAGGCAGGACTTACCTCGAAGTAATTAGTTTCAGGAGGCAGGACTTACCTCGAAGTAAATAGTTTCAGGAGGCAGGACTTACCTCGAAGTAAATAGTTTCAGGAGGCAGGACTTACCTCGAAGTAATTAGTTTCAGGAGGCAGGACTTACCTCGAAGTAAATAGTTTCAGGAGGCAGGACCTCTCCAATAGTACTGACACTGTGATCTGTCTGACAGTAGAAGGTACTAGCACTAGAGTTGAGGGAGTGAGCGTCAAGTTGGTCTAGTGAGATCTCTGATACGGTGTTGTTGGAGGTGTGGACCAGGTGGTCTAGTTTCATGTTACCTCGCTTCTTTAGCTGCAGACCTCGCTCTCCTGACGCGATAAGGATTTAGGTCCTTCATTTAGATAACAACAATCTTTTTCAAAAGTTTCTTTTTTAAAAGTTCATTATTATAATTGTTGACCTAGAAAATCTGGTTTTAACTGTGGCACCAGCTTTAATCGTCCGATCCTCAAACATTTTACCAACGCGTTGATAGTGTAAAATAAAATACTACATGTACTATACAAATCAAAAATGGTTGTCTAAGGTAATTTTAACTGATGCCTACCAAGTGAAGGGTTGGCGCGAAGTTGAGGAAACAGGTCACTTTTACTCAAAAACTGTCTGGCTCGCTCACAAACCGGGTCCAACATGTCGAACTTAGTAACGTCGTCTCCAATAAACCTGGGAGAATTCGTGATCATTGGAATGTACAGCATGTTTGAAGTAGATCGTTTAAATGTTAGCCTTTATCTTGGATCATTATTATTATCATTATCACTATTGTTCATTATACCTTACGAGAAATATTTATACTCGACGAAATTCCGGTGACCTATATGATTTGGGAACGAAAATATGGGATTTTTGCCGAAAAAAGGGATTTTTTTTCATTTCTTAATATTTTACAAAAATAAAACCCAATATTTGAGAAAATCAATTAAATAAAATATGAAATTTGAAAAAATACAAGTCGATTTCTTCTTGATCTTCTTGATCTTCTGGTTCAGGGATGTTTCTCTCTCCAGTGTAGTCCCAGGTGTAATACTAGTGTTCATTTGTTAGATGAATCATATTGATAGCTTACTATATATAGTAAGCTATCAATATATACTATCTATATATAGATAGTAAATCGACTAAGTTTCTTTTTATTAATACGTGAAAAATAATTTGGGGGAAAAATTATGGTGACCTAAATTTTGGTAGTCCGAAAATATGGTGTTTTTTTCCCGAAAACCACCGACTGTCGTACCTTTTAAATATGTATCGTAAGGTATATATAATTCATTATTAAGTGATTATGAATCACTTCAACAAAATAGGGTCAAAATCAAGAAAAAGTTTAAACAACCCGGTTTTGGATCCTGCAGTTTCGATGCTTATAAGTTTTAATACAGTGGCTACGCTTTTGTTGACAATGTTGATCAGTTTATGTTGACAGTTGAGAATGGCGGTAAAATTGTGAAATCGGCGCTTGTAAAATATTGTTAAGCCGTGTGTGTTTATAACTGAATGCTTGACGATTGTACTTTAATCACATGAGCGCCGAAATTGTGCGCTTTTCTACGCCGCGCAGTAGACTCTACCAGGAGTTAAACGACCAAAAAGCATGTGTGTAGAGAAACCAGATGATGATCAAATTTCACGACAGAGAAGACGTAACTCGAAGAAATGCTGGCGGTATTCCATCCACTAATTAATAAAAGCTTCGGTACCAAGGGAATTCAAATTACAGAAAAAGTTAAGATGAGATAAACGTCAAACAGGAGGCTGGAATGAAAAAATTTCAGAGTGGGGTATCTAATAACAGGAAGTCTTATTCGTAGATGGAAAGACTCAATAAATGAGACCCACTTTTTTAACTCGCTCCACAGCACGAAGTAGTAAGAGAAACATACCCTAATAAAGATTGGTCATTATTTTAATATAATAATTATATGGACACTGTGTACTTTACTACTGTGTAGATGTAAAATAAATCCTCTGTAATGTATACTTACGACGATAAAATGTGGAACATTTTATTAAAATTCTGTGACTTGAACCATCAAATGTTTATAACGGTACTTAAAAATAAAAAAAACAAGCATAGAAGCATACAAATTGAGTATAATAAAGAGTGTAAAGAACTTACCCTTGGATCTTGAGATAGTATCTGACAGCAGCTAGCAGGAATATTATGCTAACAAGAAGAATCGCCGCCCCCGCACTAGCTGACAGTATCGTAATGTAATCTGCCCGAGTTTTGTGATCTGAGTCCCTCCGAGAATTGTCTGAAATAAAGAGTTTATAGGGGTGTTTATAATCGGTGTGGAGGGAGTTCCATATACTGTTCATAATATAAATAGAGCCAAGAAGGCCATGGCGTATACTTGCCAACATTTTGGAGAATGCTGGTACTTGAAATACTATTGGTGTATTTCATATTTGGTGCACTCACGTAATATATATTATGCTTTGTGAAAATATTTTGACACGTCAAATTTTCGTCTACATAAAGTGTTAAGTGTAAAGTGTAAAGCTGTGTTCAATATCATGTTCTAAGAAAATGCGAAAGAAAAAGTTCCCCACAGACAGCGATATCATTATATTATATAAACCATACCGAGATTTTAACCGTTTTGTGTGTTACATTTAGAACACAAAACATCTCTCAGTTCCAGTGCCACAGTAACTAAACACCTGGTTCCAGTTCAAGATAAAGGTAAAAGATGTAATGGTCGCATAATACCGCACGGAATCGCATCACACTGACATTCATACATATAAATGAATGTACTCTGTTGATATATCATCAGAATAACAGTCAGCAGGCGTTAGCTTGACGATAGCTACTTCACGAATATTTATAATCGGACAACTGTAGGCTAATTATCCTGTCAATCAGATATCACACAGAATATAAAAACACAGAAACGCCAAGTCATAATTTAGAGGATGGAATTACAGTTCCGGGCCGCTCTTTCATCGCCAATTAATAAGTTTGATACTTATAATTGTCGATATAAGTGAGCTTTCCTAGTTCATCTCGCATAGCTGTGTTATCAGCACATTCAGTATTAGACTCTGAACACTTACAGGCTGTGGCCTATATGACCTAAAGGCAAAAGACTGGCAGTAAGAGGTATTAGACCCATAACACTTACAGGCTGTGGCCTACATGACCAAAAGACTGACAGTAAGAGGTATTAGACCCATAACACTTACAGGCTGTGGCCTACATGACAAAAAGACTGGCAGTGAGAGGTATTAGACCCATATAAACACTTACAGGCTGTGGCCTACAGCTACATGACCAAAAGACTGGCAGTAAGAGGTATTAGACCCATAACACTTACAGGCTGTGGCCTACATGACCAAAAGACTGGCAGTAAGAGGTATTAGACCCATAACACTTACAGGCTGTGGCCTACAGCTACATGACTTAAAGACTGACAGTAAGAGGTATTAGACCCATATAACACTTACAGGCTGTGGCCTACATGACCAAAAGACTGACAGTAAGAGGTATTAGACCCATTATAACACTTACAGGCTGTGGCCTACAGCTACATGACCAAAAGACTGGCAGTAAGAGGTATTAGACCCATATAACACTTACAGGCTGTGGCCTACATGACCAAAAGACAGGCAGTAATAGGTATTAGACCCATAACACTTACAGGCTGTGGCCTATGTGACCAAAAGACTGGCAGTACGCAGTATTAGACCCATATAACACTTACAGGCTGTGGCCTACATGACCAAAAGACTGACAGTAAGAGGTATTAGACCCATTATAACACTTACAGGCTGTGGCCTACAGCTACATGACCAAAAGACTGGCAGTAAGAGGTATTAGACCCATATAACACTTACAGGCTGTGGCCTACATGACCAAAAGACAGGCAGTAATAGGTATTAGACCCATAACACTTACAGGCTGTGGCCTATGTGACCAAAAGACTGGCAGTACGCAGTATTAGACCCATATAACACTTACAGGCTGTGGCCTACATGACCAAAAGACTGACAGTAAGAGGTATTAGACCCATTATAACACTTACAGGCTGTGGCCTACAGCTACATGACCAAAAGACTGGCAGTAAGAGGTATTAGACCCATATAACACTTACAGGCTGTGGCCTACATGACCAAAAGACTGGCAGTAAGAGGTATTAGACCCATGAACACGGTCTATAGTGTTGACTCTCTAATTCTCCAAAGGTGTACTGCATTCTTCACTACATAGTAAGCACATTAACAGTATATATACCAATATATTATAACAGCTCTCATTAGACTATGTGAACTGCCCGCAGTAGCACCGTGTTATTACGTATATATAAGCAGTTCAAATAGTGAGAGCAGTCAACATCACATACGGTATAAAATAGTGTGAAATAAAGACCCAGCACGTATTCTCGCACAATAGGGTTTAGTGCCGCACTGCATGTTTAGAAGATTTGTATTCTCCCTGACTAACTAGAACAACTCATTAGAGTATTAGGATAGTTGAAGAAACAGCCGCGCTCTTCAAGGCTGGTCGCTAGGTTACTAAAATGGTAACTAAGTAACAGCCGCGCTCTTTAAGAGTGTCGGCTACTTTAAAACTTTACAATGAGACATTTTAACACACATTGGGTGACCACACTGCTGGCTATTTATAAAGTAAAGGGGTGTCCAAGTTGACAGGAACAATGAACATTACTACTATTAGTGTGTGCCTGAGTTTCAGCTTTTATGAAGCTTTTTCCCTTTAGTGCTGTGATTTTCTCATCAAACCAAAATGAACTTACGCTGGTATGATTACAATAATTCCTTATGTGGCCATCACGTGTAGTTCATTCTATATACACCAGAAACGTAATAACTGTCACGGTTACAAGTTGCCATGGTTACAAGTTGCCAAGTCGTGAGTAGATAACACGATTATTCCCTACATTATAATACTGAAGACTTGATAACTATCATTAATTAAATTAATTAAATACAGCACATCTTAAGTTACTGAGTTCATTATTCACACAACCTAATCATGCTAATGATAAGAATGTATAATGAAATATGTTTTAAACTAATTACGACACTACAGATCTACATTCATCATTCATCTTACATTCATTGAGGACGTAACAGAATTAGAAGGAATTGATTTAATGTAGTCCGAGGAGTCCTAACCCTCCTCGCGTCCTAAGAATTAAGATGCCGCTTCTCTGGTCTCATTTATGTATATCTCAGTACATAGAATGTATGATGACACATAAGAATATATTGTAATATACACAAGAAACGCTGAATGTATAATGTATATTATAATATACATTGTATGTAATGTGCAGGATATATATAATACACACAGGGCATACAGCCAGGAAATGCGCGCACATTACAATAAACTTTAATTTAGTTTGAGCAATGAGCATTAAGACACACTATACGGTACACAGTTATTGATTATCGGTATTCTAATAATATAATAGATTTGATATGGTTCATTTACTGTGCTTATCATTACATTACATTGTTTCAAGACTCAAGAGTCACAGAGTACATGTCTACTAGCAACTTGGTGTGTTCACTGTGTTCACTGTATAGTCAGAATGTAAGGGCAATAATACACTGTCGTCTGTGTACTTACAGAATAGGAGTTGTTACAGTGAGCGAGGGATAAAAACATAGCTAATAAGATCATTAATCGATCGTTATCAGCTAATAAATGTAATAGATTATCAAATTACTTAAACACGTATTATAATAGTTGAGAGTACCAGAGCAGTGGAAACTCAATGTGTTCAGTATAATAATGTCACATAGTCACAATGTACGCTGTGTGGAGTGAGTGTACAATGAAGCAGCTGTAGTAAACCAACTGGACATTTAGTTAAGTGTGTAGTGTGTATCAGGTGTGTGTGGCAGTATTATACAAGTATTGTAAAGCTAAGTTGTGAGAATAATCCAGTATTATCCAGTACTAAATACTAAGCATTATCCAGCTACTGACATCTGGCAGCTAGACAGCAGGGCTGGTGTATAATTTAGCGTATATAAAGTTATAGCTTTATAGCATGTAATCTACATTATAGTAGTGGAATCAATTATAATTTCCACCAGAGTCTAGATTTGGCTGACACTATCAGTATTGCTGTAGACCTATAATTAGTGAACTTTTAATAGAAAAGGGAATTTACAGAGGTAAGGGTAAATCCTAAAGAATTTCTACCCGATCAAAATTAACATGGCTCCCTATAATTTTGAATCTTTGATGTGAGAGATAGCAATCACGCCTAATACGGACTACTTGTCGCGGGTCGAGCAATCATGAAAACCTAGTTATGTGCTATTGAGATGTGCTACCAGGGATCTGTAGCCCCACACCGGTATAACGAATAGCGCACAATAGCGCACAATATCGCACACCTGTGGGCTGTGTTAAATAGCGCACAATATCGCACACATGTGTTAAATAGCGCACAATATCGCACACATATGTTAAATAGCGCACAATATTGCACACCTGTGGGCTGTGTTAAATATCACACATTATCGCACACTGCACCTGTGGGCTGTGTTAAATAGCGCACATTATCACGCACTTGTATTAAATAGCGGACACATATTGTTGTTAAATATCGCTCAATATCGCACATTTACAAGTACATCTAATGGTACTAAAACCGATTAATAAAATGTTCTCATTGCCATTTGCCGATAACTGGACCTTGTTAACATGTTGCATAATGAACGCACAGGGCTCCAATGCTCTATCTTACAGTGGTCACGATCTTTAGTGATAATGACCACAGCCCCCTCCGAAGAAGAAGAATATTATAATATATTATTATTAAATATCACGTTTTAATTGAAGGTCACGCTCGTTACTCTTAACTGAAACGTACTCTCAACTGCTATATAATTGCTATTATATATAGGTAATATATAGCAGTTATACATAATATATAATATATTATATTATAATATATAGCTACATGTAGCGAGAATGTGCACACGTTACAGTTGAGAGTAATGAGCGTGACCTTCAATTAAAACGTTCGTTTACGTTAATAACCCGTAAATTCAACCAAACAAGGTTACCACCACAACACGTGTTTAACCTATTATTCTGTATTGTGCAGCATAAGATAAAGCAAACGTTGCAAAATTGCACAGCTCTTAAAGTCTTAATTAGAAGACCGTCACTTTCTACGAACATTCACACACACAGACAATATATACATTTAAACGTCGTCTATCTTACACAATATTTTACATATATTTTATTTTTGTGGCAGATTTTACTGTCGTAAACCCACGGTATAAAGCTGTAGACAGCACTAACCATAGATGCCGGAAGTTTAAGAACATCCTGATTTTTGGCACCGATGATCATTTCAATGACCTTATTCGGGAATTTGTTTGTTCTATAAAGCTGAGGCCAGTTATTAAGGAATGTGAACGAGTCGGGACTTGATAAAGTCCGAAGGCCAAAAATATGACGGACTTGTTTAAATTCTAAATGAAAAGCTGGAATACATTTACGTGAGTGTAAACTATTGTTCTCAAATTGTATCAAATAAGACAAAGAAGACAAAGCAAAGAAGACAATGGAGACAATATGACACATGTCATGTCTCATAGTGTCTAGTTGTCTACACTGTCTTTTGTGTACACATTAAAAGGTTAACTAATAACTACTGAGTGTATTCTGACGTATTAAACTGTATAATATCTTATTTGACTAACCTGACTAATACTAGATATAAGAAATTGGTGGTAGGTATAATAACAGTGTGGATAAGTGTTGTCATTTCAAATTGGCTTCTATGATAACGATCTACATACTATTTGGCTTGTCTCGCGACCAAAAAACACTTTGTGGTTTCAACAGGACGTATAAATTAGAAAATGTCAGACTCAGATAGAAGATACTAGAACCTATAATGACACATGACTATGAGGTAAGATAGTACTACATGGTAAAATGGTGTTAAGTTACAAGGTAAGATGATTATGACATAATATATAATAATGGCGATCATGATAATAATATCATAGTAAGTTGATCCTAATCATATAAATGTTACGTGTAATACACACAGTATTATGACAATATGATGTATTGGGATTTGGGCGTGTATATGATTAGGATCAACTGGTACACTTACTGGTGTAGGGTCTGTACAATGTACACTGTACACGTACACTGTACACGGTACATTGTACACTGTACAGTGTACAATGTACAGTGTACAGTGTACAATGTACAGTGTACAGTGTACAATAAACAATTCAATATACGTTGCTATGTTAGTGCATTGAGAAGCACGAAACTAGATCCTCGTTATGACTTATGTGTACATTAAACATTGTTTCTTTGAAAACTTTCAGGTCATGCTATAACCGTTAGAAGATAATGTTGCGTTACCAAGGTTACATTACAGTAGTTATAGCATCTTAAGTACTAGCATAACGTAAGAGGTGGGGTAAAGGGTGTGGTCAGGTTTGATAAACCTTCCGTAGAATAAAGAGTAGTACACCTCACTACTATAGTAGTTTTATGACGTGTCGACTACGTTTAATTAGTATACTTTATCCCTACCGTTTTATTACATTTACTTTATCTACCTATCACTATACAGTATACATATTTAATCTTAAATTATCATTTTAGTGGAACTATGTAAAAGGGGATCGTTGCTAGCGTTAAAACTGTTTTAACCCTGCCATAGTCAGTTGAAAGTCTGATAGCATAAGTTCCGTTTGATTTGACCAAACTAATGCCTTTCATTGCTTTATAGTATAGCTACTATAGTCTATACACAGAAAAGTAGTACTGTACACCTCACTACTATAGTATACCTACTATAGTCTATACACAGAAAAGTAAAGAGTAGTACACCTCACTACTATATTAGTATTATAGCTATAGTTATAAGTAGTAGTATAGCTACTATAGTCTATACACAGAAAAGTAGTACTGTACACACAATAAATAAATATAAAAGTAGTAATAACAATTATAACAAGCGCACTCACAATCCTCCCGGTACACATCCTCTGGTATGTAGCAGCCTGTGTTGTTGGTGCTGCTCAACACACCACAGATAAAGTCCAGAACAGTACGAGAGTCGTAGTCTCGCATGGCACTGGGGAAACACTCCTCCATCAGGGTGTCGCAGGAGTCCTGTCATTGGGTGGTTTGTTAGTGATTGGTTGTTGACGGTCACGTGGGGCCCGGGGTTTAACAATAGTTCATAACAATTCGTACATGTGAGCTTTAAAAAATCTATGATAAAAGCAACGTCAATTTTAGCAGAGTTCGTCAGAAAGACACGTAACAATGATACAGATATTAAACATGTACAACAACGTCTCTCTCTCTCGCTCTCTCTCTCGCTCTCTCTCTCTCTCTCTCTCTCTCTCTCTCTCTCTCTCTCTCTCTCTCTCTCTCTCTCTCTCTCTCTCTCTCTCTCTCTCTCTCTCTCTCTCTCTCTCTCTCTCTCTCTCTCTCTCTCTCTCTCTCTCTCTCTCTCTCTCTCTCTCTCTCTCTCTCTCTCTCTCTCTCTCTCTCTCTCTCTCTCTCTCTCTCTCTCTCTCTCTCTCTCTCTCTCTCTCTCTCTCTCTCCTCTCTCTCTCTCTCTCTCTCTCTCTCTCTCTCTCTCTCTCTCTCTCTCTCTCTCTCTCTCTCTCTCTCTCTCTCTCTCTCTCTCTCTCTCTCTCTCTCTCTCTCTCTCTCTCTCTCTCTCCTCTCTCTCTCTCTCTCTCTCTCTCTCTCTCTCTCTCTCTCTCTCTCTCTCTCTCTCTCTCTCTCTCTCTCTCTCTCTCTCTCTCTCTCTCTCTCTCTCTCTCTCTCTCTCTCTCTCTCTCTCTCTCTCTCTCTCTCTCTCTCTCTCTCTCTCTCTCTCTCTCCTCTCTCTCTCTCTCTCTCTCTCTCTCTCTCTCTCTCTCTCTCTCTCTCTCTCTCTCTCTCTCTCTCTCTCTCTCTCTCTCTCTCTCTCTCTCTCTCTCTCTCTCTCTCTCTCTCTCTCTCTCTCTCTCTCTCTCTCTCTCTCTCTCTCTCTCTCTCTCTCTCTCTCTCTCTCTCTCTCTACAACAACGTACCCGACATATCTTGAATTGGGACTGACAAGGACTGACAAAGGTCCAACTACAGAGTAGTTCTTTGAGGGGGAGATAGTCTGCGTTACAGGAGTTGGACATCTTGTGTCCTTCTAGTACCTGGGGGTGTAGGTATTTAATATTATATTATTATTACATTATTTTAATTATTTAATACTTATTATATTATACAAGAACAAACGATCGAATAGAGTTTGCTAATTGGTGAAATATCGGTTAACTTCACAGCATGGAAGAAAACAAGTTGAACCTCCCTGTGAACGACCACATTTAAATACATGATAATATGGTACGCTACAGGATAAATTTATAGTAATCCCATGACAGTGACCCACGGACCACGTGACCCACGGTGTAAAGTAACATCCTGGTCACTCTGCTGAATGGCCATAAACCAGCCAAAAAGTCTAAGAATATGATAACCTTCAGTCAAGATGGTCCACGATAGGTGAAAGATGGAAGTAGAGTAGAAATATCTATCAACAGGAATTTTGTGTTTTGAAATCTACAATATCGACATTTTGTAGAGGCCATGCCAGTTAGCCACTAGACCACGCAATCCATACACTATACACTATAATACACTATACACTATACCAGTAATTCGTGTATAATCCCCTCCGGGTTTTACTGACGCGATGTTTAAAATGAGCACACAGCGAGATATAAAATCACTACCACCGTCATTATAGGGTAGGGGAGGATCTGACTCAGATCACTGCAAATTAGGATTTATCCGGGGCTATGATGACCGTCAAATCGGGTTTTGAGTAGTGGCTTATGTTGAGATAGCGGGGTTAATAATAATATATCACGTGATACGGGTGAAATATCGTACAGGAAACGACTTTTTCAGCTCATTTTTTTGGTTTGCTCTGAAAATTCGTACAACTTTGAAGAAACGTTTTTGTAGCGAATTTTTAAACAGAGGTTTCTTTGATGTCGCCGCAAGAAGTAAATTTCATTCATCAATCACGTGACTAAAGAATCTGATCTCTCATGAACACTTCAAGCAACTACTCGGATATTAAGTTCGGGATACAAAACAATGCAGTGAGATACTCTTGGGCCTTCTACTTTCTACTAGGAATCCTCTCATCTCTCATCGGAGATACTCTGATCTTATTAGCATCCCTCCGTGAAGATGCCTTCAAAATTAAAAAGTTCCTGGTCGTAATAATCCAACACATTGCTATATCAGATCTAGCAAACACCCTCACTTTCCTTCTACCTACAGAAATATCCCTGCTAGCCAACTCCTGGGCCCTGGGGGCCACACTCTGCTACATCCGAGCTTACACTTCATACATGATGTACCTAGCTGGCATGTCCCTTATAGCCGTTCTCACCACCAGTAAGTTCCTGATCCTCAAATACCCTCTAAGAGCAGTGAGTTGGTCAGATTTGAGGGCCCATCAAGTGTGCAGCCTTGTCTGGGTATCATCTCTCATCATGCCAATACTCTTCTTCGCTGTTGACAAAGATGATGTCCACTTTGATTACAGAGTCTACAACTGTCAGTATAAGCTTAGCAGTGATGTTTGGAAGAAAGCGTTGATACCCATAACAGGTTTTGTCTACGGCATAGTCCCTAACATAGTTGTTGTCACCACCACAATTCTTACACTGAAGTACCTGGCTGATGCCATGAAGTTTGCAAGACGAGTCCACGGAAGTGTCCCATGGCAAGGAGTGGTGACAGTCCCTCTAACATCCCTTGCTTACTGTGTCTCCACATTACCTTATGTAGTTCACCGTATTGCTAGCCGGTACATCAACGAAGATCCTCCGGGACTCTTTCATCTTCAGTTTTACAGGATATTCAACTTCTTGTTGATGATAAATGTGGCAGCTAACTTCTACATCTACGCTCTGACTATAAGAAGTTTCCGTAGCTTCATCCACTGTAAAGTCCTGTCGATGGTTCGATTCATTCGGCTCGCTGGTAGGAACGAAGCATCTGTAGAAGGTAATATCGAGTTTACCAGTGACTCATTTAGGTTTTCGAATGCATTTAAGTTCTAGTTTTAATTTGATGAAAGCCCTGATGAGCAGTTAATTGATAGCTACTGATTTAAGTTCTCTTTCAGTTGACGGAGAAAATGTTCCTGATAAGATTATGTCAGGATCTGAAGACACGACATGTAGACATTCAAGAGAAGCAGATGACTCACAAGGTAAGATTGTTCATTACTTTAATATTAATTACTTAAGTAATTAAGTAATTAGGTAATTAATTAATTAAGTAATTAAAACTTTATCCGGTTAAAATTTTACATGAAGTTAAGTTCCAGTGCGTTGGAAGCAGCACCGAGGAGAGCAATTGAAGGTTGTAAACCCCTAATAATTTATACCCACTCAGGTGAAGTAACAGGTGCAGTTACTCTTGATTCCTCACTCCTGACATCCAAAGACATCCTATCGGCAGCAACATGTAATATACATACAATTACTTAATATATTACTATATAATCTATTAAACATGAAATTGTTCATCACAGTGCAAAATCCAGACTTTCATAAAATAGCAACCATGACGGACAATCAATTGCGGTCTCGAACTGATCAATTTCACACCCAGTGGACGAGGAGAGACATGCAGCTAGCAAGAATAACTCACGAATGAGCGAGAGTTTAGTTTGAGAATCTCAAAGCGAATGGACACAGCACAGCGATTACTACACGATAACAGTACGGACAATATAAACTCCATGGCATGGCCACGAATAAGAAGGGCCCAGTCCTCAAATTATTAATACCATATTACTATTATCTTTATCTACGGGACCGATTACCTTACTATAAAATGATTTTAGTGGAATGCAAACATACTTAAATAATCGATCTGTTTTCAAAATGAAGATACGAAGAAGCTGCTGAATCAACGGTAGAGTTTGTTTGATTTTTTGAACTTATTATAATCCATAAAATTAACACTGTAATCATGTACTTACTCTGACGAACATTGTTATTTATCAACATATGGTTACGTATACAAAGAGAGGGCTGTTTAATGTTTATTTGTACATTAATACTCGACTTCAGGGGCCAAGGCCCGAAACTCACAGTGTACACTATACATTGAGCATGGCCACAAGTTGAAATCTGAGACTCCGAATCATGCTATATTATATAGTCCGGTTGCTCAAACAACAGGTCTTCATGATATGAACTATTACAAAGCTTTTAACATGACAAAAAAGAAAAATAGACTAAATCTCCACTGAACTTTCAGTGTAGATGTAACTACTGAGTTTGTGTTGTTTTGAAATGATGATTGGTTCAGACTCTATCGAGTTAGCGTTGATACAGTTTGTTTGGTTTAACCTGTGAACAACGAGCGATCATTTAAATAATTGATTGATTATATGAAAATATCTTTGTGATATCTGTACTCCTGATTGAAGCATTTTTCTGTAAAATGTTCGTGTAAAAGCTTATATTATTAATTATACTACAATTTGGATGTTTTTAATGCATCGTCAAATCCACATTAAGAATCGTTGCACTTGAATCTTGATCATCATGAATCGTAATGATATAATATATATATAAATAAAATTGAAAACATTTTGTCGTGCCAGGGACGGACTTAATCTCATAAAAATGCGTTGGAAGCAAAACAAATTCTAAAGAACAACGTGTCCTTGAGTGTCCTTGTTCAAATCACGGTAAAAATCAGCCGTCTCTAACATTATACTACCATGGTAGTTCGCATGTCCTTCTTCACTGATTTAAAGAATTCTTTTGAGACAATGGATTGTCATTTCATGTTTTTGTTATCTAAGAGGGGTTTGAAGACGCCAGACGGTAATTCTATGGACACACCCATTACACAATGCATGACCAATCTTTACTAATAACTCAAAACCAAAATATCTCCGAGGGGGATTAGAGGAACAATGCAGCTACATCCTTCTCTCTCTTTCTCTCTTCTTCCTTCTATTCTTCTAGAGTCTAGATCCCTGTATAGATTGTCATTTGTCTCCGCAAGCAATTCTTCAGCGTTCTGTGTTCATTTTGTAATGTGCTGTATGCTAAACACGCTAGATTTGAGTAACTTATTTTGCATTTGCCTCACCGTCTCCCTCTTCTTTTGCAAATCTGTCCCCTGACTGGTCCATTCTTATCTTCTTCTATTGATGATTCGTCGTTCAAATTAAAATGAGCCTTTCGAAACATCTTGTTACTAATCAGAGAAATTAAAATAATCACATCCCTCCCCTTTCTTAACTACCAATTTCCTTTCAGTTTCCATAAAAGGCGAAACACTCAAGTGATCTCTAATGAATACCTCACACAATTACAACTACTCGGACATTAAATTTGGGATAAACAACAACGGAGAGAGATATTTCTGGAGTGCTTATCATTTCTTTGTGCTCCTGTCATCCCTTATTGGAGATACTCTGATCCTGATTGCATCGTTCCAGAAGGACGCCTTCAAAGTCAGTAGAATCCTAGTGACCATTATCCAGCACATAGCAGTCTCTGATCTTGTATTTGCTATATCTACAGTTCTTCCTGCTACCATCTCATTGCTAGCAAACTCCTGGGTTCTAGGAGATACTATTTGCTATGTCCAAGTGTATCTGATCTCCTACTATGTTTACTTGTCAGGTATGTCCCTAATAGCAATCCTCACTACAAGCAAGTTCCTGATACTCAGATATCCACTCCGGACAGCAACTTGGTCAACAAACAGGGTCCATCTAATATGCAGCTTAGTTTGGATTATCTCGGTAATCAATCCAATACTTTTCTTCACTGTAGACAAGCATGATGTATTCTTTGATTATAGAAACTACTATTGTGAGTACGGGTTCAAAGATAAAATCTGGGGGAAGATATTAATTCCGATTACAGGGTGCATCTTTGGTTTAGTTCCCAATGTAATCATTGTCGCTACCACAATCCCTACACTCAAGTACTTAGTTGATGCTACAAAAGTTGCTAAACGAGTCCAAGGAAGTATTCCATGGCAAGGAGCGGTAACCGTCGTCGCGACAGCTGTCGTCTACTGCATCTAAACATTGCCCCACATTATTTACAAGATTTGCTGGGGTGTAGGTTTCATTACAGAGGGGAGTCCTGGTGGGTGGTCCCACATCCAATACTATAGAGTTAGCAGTTTCTTGTTGTTGGTGGATATCATGTCTAACTTTTATATCTACACTCTGACCATTAAAAGCTTCCGGAAGTTCCTGATATCTAAAGTTTTGTGCTTTGTGCCTGCCTCTTTATCAAGCATATGCTCATCTTCGACAGGTAACATTTATATAATACTTTCCTTTGTAATTATTTATCAAGCTTACGACAAAACACATTCAAGTGATTATTCGATATTCGACTCAACAAAGCGAAGAAATCAAGATTAACCCTTCAATTTCCTCCAGTCCGAGAAGATCAAGAGAAGAAAATAGCTGATGGTGATAATAAGGCGACACAATCCAAGGAAGACACGGTTTAAGAAAATCGAAGATGGAGGAACAATACTTACACTTTAGTAGTTACTGATGTAAAAACTTACTCCCATCAATTTATTTTCCGTCCGCATGGCTTGCCAGTAAAGCAGTAAGTGAGTAAGTGGAAGAACTTATAACTTGATAAATGATTATGCAAATTGATTCAGGGTGAGTAAGAATAAACTAAATATCTACCAATCATCAATCGTCTTCACAATAGTGAAGATCAGAAGAAAGCTCTTTAAATTTACACTAAGTTTATTTTGGCCCACCCTTTATTAAATGTAGAAGATATTTACCGAAATAACTGCAGTCTCTTGAGTGAAGTACTGTTCTGGGAACTTCTCTTGCAACGGTGACACCTGAACGTTGTTTTATTAACAAATACATCAATTAGATAAATAATTTTAAGATCTCTTTTTAAATATCATGATATCGATCAACTGACTAAGAACTTAACCGGGCACATATCAATAATGAATCAAAAAATTTAACTTATCATAACTTCAGTTCCAATTTCGAATAAATCTATCCTCATGCTATTATCTGGTTAAAATAATTTATTGTTTATTTCCAATTATAATCATTATAATTTATTATTTATTCCCTAAACTCACCCTCATGAGCAGCTCCTGGAATACCAGAGTCATGTTCTTCCAGTGTCCGTTAATAGCACTGTCAATGTAAGCCATCACGTGTCTGTCCCTCCCGTGTTGGTCACGTGTGTTACACGAGATGGACAGTTCCAGGTCCTCTTCTATCGGGTAACTGTACCCTGGGGAAGAGAGTTTGTTAATTAGCAAGTGTGCCTACATTTATTTTAACAACTATTAGTACCGTATAATAAATAAATGTATATATATTACATATTATTATAATATATATATTATATATATTATTGTATAATTTCTTGAGTAAACATTAACCAGTAAACAAAGCTGTTTCCCAATCAATCACTCAATCAGCTAATTAATTAGCTGTACCCTGGGGGTCGGTGTTTAAAAAAATTAAAAGTAATTAATATTTTGATGTTCTCAACAGAATAGCTGACCGCTGGTTTATAATTTATTAATGGTATAAAGTACTTAAAATGTACTCGGAGTTCTCCTAAGAGAGAGATAGAGAGAGGACATGCACGTGATAATGTAGTGACCATATTATTACACAATATAATTATCTCAGATATTGTACATTGTACATTGATATGACATATCAATACCACATTGTGGTATTTACAAGTACATACATTGAAATACCCACACCGACAAATATACATCGAAATCTTAGAAAAGTTATTAAAAGCTTACATAACTTTCAGTAAGATTGAAATATTAGTAAAGAAACAGTACCTGTACAATAGGAGAGGTCCTGTTGAGAACACTGTTGAGAACAGGTAGCCTCGTGTTTCATCTGACTTGTGTTTCCCTGACTTGTCGTTAAATCTGAAGTAGTCATTACTCAACTAATTATAATTATAATATTAATACATAAATAACAACTATATATTATAATTATGATATTAATACATAAATAGATTAATTACGTTGAACTTTATAAATCACTTTATCCATCAGATTCATCATTAAACCAGATTATGGGATTGTTCGAAATAGTATCTATGTCTCAATATGTTTGATATATATCACAGAGTATTACACATGAGGAAAAATGTAAACAGTTATTTTAATGTACTTTGCGTTTTAGTATCGACGTCCAAATATTATAGCGTTGTATTTAATATGTATTTTATAGATTTACGTTACGCTATGAAGTTTATCAGAATTATTATTATAATAGAAGAGGGATTGCAAGACAGCATACTTAATACTTATTCCTTATTTATTATTATATCATTATTATACCCGAATAAGATTTAAGACGATACTATTTTGTTCTTTATAACTTATAACATACAAAAAATGTGTTTATTGTTTGTCGGTTAGTCCAATCGGAAACGTATATTTCAAGAATGCGAGTCATGAGTTGTTATAATTTTCCCAATTTCCTAGGAAAAAAGATTACCAATATCTTTCTTCAACAGATCACTCATTTTTCTAAATACTTTTAGTCATCATGGGATGCCTTTAAAATATTATCCATCATAAGTTTTATTGCACTTCTTGGAGCCTAAAAATCAAGCATGCAAATATGAGTACATCCCTTCCTGCAGTAGACGATAAATGTATTGATAAGTATTGTTTAAAACAGCCTTAGTATCTGGTGTTTGATTCAGTAAAAACAGTATCGTGTTATGCACAATAGATACAAAGCATCCATTGAGCCATCAAAACTTAATATTTTCGACACAAAACCTTGATTTTGTGACAGTTAACAAATTTCGGAGTAGATTGCTTTCGTCAATTATGACTATATGGCACAATTCAGATCTCGTTATGTCGCAAGACACATCTCCCAATTTCCATTCCACAGAACATTAATTATAATTGTTATGTATGTATCCATATTATAATCATTGTACCCATTACCCAAACACAGAAAACATAAGCACAGAATATTAGATTTACGAATATTTGCTCTGGACCCGCTCTGGACCATTGTTTGAGATCATTGCTTTTAATGTATCGATTAAAAATCAATTATACATTAATTAAACCTGTTATGAAATTCAAAAAAAATAACCACTCTTCACGTTAACCGTTTGTTAACAGAAATCCTTGTGTGTAGAAACCACAATGTCTGCACGCGTTGGTACTGGCATCAGCACACGTGTGAACAAGTTAGTTAGTTAGTCAGTCGGTCAGTCAGTCAGTCAGTCAGTCAGTCAGTCAGTCAGTCAGTCAGTCAGTCAGTCAGTCAGTCAGTCAGTCAGTCAGTCAGTCAGTCAGTCAGTCAGTCAGTCAGTCAGTCAGTCAGTCAGTCAGTCAGTCAGTCAGTCAGTCAGTCAGTCAGTCAGTCAGTCAGTCAGTCAGTCAGTCAGTCAGTCAGTCAGTCAGTCAGTCAGTCAGTCAGTCAGTCAGTCAGTCAGTCAGTCAGTCAGTCAGTCAGTCAGTCAGTCAGTCAGTCAGTCAGTCAGTCAGTCAGTCAATCAGTTAGTTAGTTAGTTAGTTAGTTAGTTAGCGGCACGCTAAGTAGCAGAAAGGGACGCCATCCAGCAGATATGTGACCAACCAGCTGCGCGGAAATTCATGAGCTGGCTAGAATCTGTCCTTCAGCTAAATCCTCTCAATTTTATTTGAATACCGGATAAAATAAGAGCCGGACCAATTTGATTAGTTCCGAAAAATCTTAAATTTACATAAAGATTTTGAGCGAATATTTTAAAATGCAACATCCACCAGATTTAACAGGCACAATAAAACAGTTGCTAATTGCTAGTTTACTAAGTTGCTAATTTCTAGTTTATTAATTTGCTAATTGCTAGTTCACTAATTCTGTTAATTGACTACAGGAAGAGACTCTAACAGAAGTGGAGTATGAGAGGTACGAGGAGATGTGTACTAGTGAGATAGACGACCTGTTCGCTGAGGAGGACGTTAAACTGCCCAGGTTATTACTCATTAGTTATTTAATTTTAATTACCTATTAGTTAATTGTTAAGTGTAGACCCACTGGGCCATGTGGTCGTGGAGACACGTAATTTGCAGAAAATATTGTGCGTTTTTTTTGTGTATTTTGGCGATAAAAATGAGGAAAGATGCGGGATTGTGTTACTGCGGTTACTTGTTTCAAAACTGTAATTAGTATTTACTGCACTTAAGCGTATGGGAACCAAGTATAAGCACCAAACAAAGAAGACGCTGGAATGTTTAACTTAATCCAGAAAGCAAATTACAATAATATACACACACTGACATACTATCTGCAAACTGTAACGGCAAACACCCGTGTCATCACAGCGATAAGTACGTCTAATTATAACTTATAACTAAAAATATACATCAGCTAGAGCTTTATCCGTCTATATCTAGAAATTTCTCTGGAAATAGTAATATAATAATAAAAGCTAAAATAGCTTAATTTGTGGTTTCTAGCTCCTTCACAGCCCTTAACTTACATTACTTAATACCAGGTTACAGGAACTGTTGGAATTGTCAGGAGAGCGAGAAAGTTTTCAGCAGACATTTTGTCCGGTAATTATTAGTTTAAAGTGCTGATAATTGATTAATCGTATTTTAATTATTAAGCAAATCATACACGCTAAGAGAAAGCAGCAAAAGGACAGAAATAAGTTAGAACTAAGCAGCTCATGATTATTTGGTTATTTAATCTAATTTTTAGCACCGAACATCAACGAAAGCTGAAAGCATAGTTTTTAAGTTTAATCAATTGACTGAACAGTTCCAGCCTGCTGCATGTCCCCTGCCCCGTCTTCAGGTGCACATTGCGCAGTCACTATGTTCCTGACCTCGTTTTCAGGTGCACACTGTGCAGTCTCTATGTTCCTGACCTCGTCTTCAGGTGCATATTGTGCAGTCTCTATGTTCCCTGCCTCGTTTTCAGGTGCACATTGCGCAGTCTTCATGTTCCCTGCCTCGTCTTCAGGTGCACATTGCGCAGTCACTTTGTTCCTGACCTCGTCTTCAGGTGCACACTGTGCAGTTTCTATGTTCCCTGCCTCGTCTTCAGGTGCACATTGCGCAGTCTTCATGTTCCCTGCCTCGTCTTCAGGTGCACATTGCGCAGTCTCTATGTTCCCTGCCTCGTCTTCAGGTGCACATTGCGCAGTCACTATGTTCCTGACCTCGTCTTCAGGTGCACACTGTGCAGTCTCTATGTGCCCTGCCTCGTCTTCAGGTGCACATTGCGCAGTCTCTATGTTCCTGACCTCGTCTTCAGGTGCACATTGCGCAGTCTTCATGTTCCCTGCCTCGTCTTCAGGTGCACATTGCGCAGTCACTATGTTCCTGACCTCGTCTTCAGGTGCACACTGTGCAGTTTCTATGTTCCCTGCCTCGTCTTCAGGTGCACATTGCGCAGTCACTATGTTCCTGACCTCGTCTTCAGGTGCACACTGCACTGTGCAGTCTCTATGTTCCTGGCCTCGTATTCAGGTGCACATTGCGCAGTCTCTATGTTCCTGACCTTGTCTTCAGGTGCACACTGCGCAGTCTCTATGTTCCTGACCTCGTCTTCAGGTGCACACTGCGCAGTCTCTATGTTCCTGACCTCGTCTTCAGATGCACACTGTATAGTCTTCACGTTCCTGACCTCGTCAGTGAACATCTCGAGATCACTAGATTCTTGGTTAACACTTAGACTTACCCTGATCATGTTTACCGACCATCTCCATCTTGCCCATATGTAACCAACAGCCTTTTTGTATAGGTCACTATAGAATACGGGATTCAAGAAACTGTTGACGGGAATCACCACCAGAGCGAACACCTCGAAGACTGAAGGTGGTGCTGATTGTTTGGGGAAGAACGCGTAGTAGACTGTTACCATGATGAAGAGTATCCAGGCTATGAGTTGACTTCCGATCATCAGAACTACTTTTAGTGTTAGAGATTTTGTAATATCCGCCTTTTGATCTCCTACACCGCCGGCCCCCTGGCCCCCCCTGTGCCAATGGTGCTTGTCGTAGAGCCGCGACACGTACTTTACTCTTTCTATCTTCCAGCAATATATTGGTGTATGTTACAAGTACTGTGACCAACAGCAGTGCCAGAGTTATGCAGTAGAGAAGTTTGTAGATCCGATAAGATTCCTGGTGTTTGAAGATGTTCTGAACACATAATCGGGTGTTGCCGTAGTAGCCTATCTCCTCACTATCGAACATGCTTCCCTTGGAAGTCGTGTTTTGGAGCTTTTCAAGCATCGTGTTTGTGTTACTTTCCATGGCGAATGCACCGTGGTACATTCTTGTAATTCTTGACATGTTGATAGGATTCTTGCTGAAAAATGGATTTTCATCAAGATTAGTGAAGAATATTTCCGTCCTAAAAATATCCTGTACGTCAGGAATGGGTAGGAGCGGAATAATAGCATGAGCTACATTTAGGAGAAGACCTATAACGGATCCTAAGACAATCCTCCTTGTTCTTATATCACTAACCATACTGGTGCAAGTTAGCCATCTGATCACACTGACAAATGCGACAGTCAACAAGGAGCCATGAGAGGATACAGAGAAGAGCACACCAAAAATAGAGCAGAAGATGCTGGCTCGCCACTTTCTCTCCAACAAGCAGTAGTCGCCTTTGAATCGGAGGATTGTAGCGGCTATGACGAAGAAGAATATTTGGAGACGAAAAATTCTGTCAATTTGACCGGTCTTTGAATTTATTTGGGAGCGATAGCATTTGTATCCCTCTACAGAGTTGATGATGACGATGAAGAGCCCCATGAAAATTGTGACTACTAGAACCGGTATGGATTGAATAAGGAACTTGGAGGAGGACAAACTTCCGTGGTCACATGTTCCACATTCATCACTACCGTCAGCACAATCCTTCACATGATCACATACTTTTTCAGGATCAATCCACACTGCTGTTGATTTTGGGCTGCAATAGAACCTGCTCGGACATCCAATTTCATCTGCCCCATTTTCACAGTCTTGCTTTTCATCACACAATGCTGTCACGTGGAAAGACTCTGTTCCAGATCTAAACGGATCTTTCTCACAGTTGAAAACAAAGTCCGCCCCTGACCAAATATCCCTAAATATATGGTCACAAAATTGTACCCAATTGTCCACTACGAAATCTGTCTCATTAGTGCAATTATATTTGCAATAAGATTTCAGGAAATTTACAGGATGTTCGCGCATTAATGCCATAAATGACCGCTGGTTATGTCTGTATTGTCTTTCCAGACACGAGTACAAGGGAGTAAGTTTATTTCCCTCAGCCTCACATTTATCAGCGTCACTCTTATCTGGAATAGTGCATTTAAAACGAGTTGACTTGGTATCCAGGCTTATGCACGTCTGCAGCACAGCAGGCAAACAAATGGGAGTGCTGCTGATGAGCGGGCAAGAAATCTTGATAAAATCTTCAGTGCAGTAACACTCATCAGACCCATCAATACAATCCCGGGTACCATCACATAGATGGTCGAACGAGATGCAGCCTGAGCCGTCAAAGCAGTAGAAAACTTCAGTCAAGTTATTTTTACAGCTACACTCATCAGTGAGGCACTGAGACACTCCATCACAGACGTTGTTATCAGCCAGAGCACAGGTCCATACTGCATCTTCATAATTTGCTGCCAGGACGACCTCTTCGACATGGTAAGGGTCAAAGTTGAACCGACAGGTTGTGGAACTATTTCTTATTTCTTGGGTTACCCCTTGTACGCTATATTGAAGCAAGAATCGTGTATATTGGTAGTAGTTTGATAATAACATGCTCTTTTGATCTACAGGTAGAAAGGGATGCCGTCCGATGACCTTCCTAAAATCAACTGCGAACTCTCTCCCCTGAAGACTAGTCCCCGGGACTTGGAATGGAAAGAGCAACAGAAGAAGCGGCAATAAGACACACCAAAATGAGATATCCTTCATTTTCCCTCTATTCAAGTGTATTGAAGTAGCGGCTGGGTTGACTTACTTGAGAGAGCTGAAAAGGACTGACGAGGACTGTCTCCTGCACGAATTTTCACCTTTTATACGCTAATTCGAGATAAATTCTGTGCATACTAGAGAATTACATACTGAGAATTACACGTTACGATTTGAGCACAATACCCGTGGTTCCTTGCTGCCCATTCTTTTTGTTCGATACCTCAAAAATATATTAACACAAAGAGCAAGATATTAGAATAAAGAATAGAGAATATTACCAAAAATATCTCTTAAAAGGAGGATGTCAACAATGGGATATTTAGATTTAGGGATTGCATCGAATGCAAGGCAAAAACAGACCTCTTTCGCAAGATTGACGATTTCAGCTAAATTTATTTCACAGAAAGCATGCCGTTGGAAAATTTACGTAAAATCCCACCAGTAGTCAAGTCTATGAATAATAAAAGTCGAACTTTTATCAACCTCTGTAGCTAACTGTGCCAAGTTTTAAAAAGAAAAATCCTTACTTAGATCAGCAAATTATCGAAAGAGAAATGAATTGTTCCTTTGACTCGACATTTCGGCACACAATTAGATCGAGCAAGTGGCAGAACTCTGAATATATAATAGTTTCCGTGAATCTTTTGGTGTTTCTAGCTGATGGAGCTGTATCCCTAGCAACTTTGTAAAATAGTTCGGAGTCATGGATACCGGTTAGTCTAGCAGCCCTCTCTCATAGAAAAATAAACTTAAGTTGACTACCTCACCTTGTGTACCTTATCCTATGTTTTCACACAGTTCATATATTATATACTGTATGTCCACCCTATATAGTTCACAGTTCCACGATAATATAGCCTGACCAGAGAGTTATGTGTGTCAGGCTCGCGGGAACAAGACACTGTGTTTAACACCGATGTTAGGTGCATCTTGTACATATCTAGCGATATAAAAACACATGGCACAACTATATTAGTGCATTCATTATACAGAAATTATTATTAGAGTTTGGCTTGACCACTTTCTGTACAAGAACGATTCATATTATATTACATTCATTCAAATTTACATACATATTATAACATTACCTATTCAATAGTATACAACACTTATATATTCCGGTTATTGTGCAATATAATATTAAGTGTTGAGATAAAAATAAAAAGATGTCTCACCTGTCACGTGACTACCCGAAGTACCGTTGATGTCTTCATCAAGTAGAGTTTCGTTGAAATTGGGAGCTATACTGGATACTGTTTGGAGAAATGCCAATAGCGTGATGCTTATGCTTACAGTCTGCATAGTATTGGTCACTACATTCTACCCACCTGTCATGATGAAAACCATGGCCTAGTGAATGGGAGACTGTTAACTTTATACGAAGTAGAGGGAATGTCGTGCAATATGCCTTGAAAAGGAATTAGGTCCTTGGCTTTACACCGACGCCCGACAGCAATCTAATCTGCATATTGTGGGTTTTAATTTCAAATTAAGTGACACGTGCAGTGTTAGTTTATTAGTTGACCGAATAACGCAACATCTTCTTTATGGTCTTTCGTTATTCTGAAAATAATAATGTTTCCATAGTGCCTCATTTCAATAGAAAGAGCTCAATTTCCAGATTGATTTGTACATGACCCTAACTCAGCTCACATGGTATAGTACACAATACATATGTAAATACTGAATATTATATATGTGATCATGATTATTTAATGTCTGATATCACTCCGGGGAGTCCTAAGGGTTTATACGTTAGAAACCAATCAAATAAACAAATTTTCATGTGCTTGTGAATCAGATTTGAGGGTAAGCTGGAGGGGGCCAGGGGTAGGGAATGTCGTGTACCAGCCATCACTGTACATACCATGCAACTTTCAATGGGATATTAGACTGATTTCAATAAAGAAAGAAAAAATAATAATTTAAGTTCAAAAACTCATTCTTATATACGATAAAATAAGAGGGTCGTGTTTATTAAATTTCATTCACTCTCACAAGTGAACGACAGGCAAAATGATACAATTCTATCTATCTTACTACAAGTTTCATGAATGAGTTAACAGTCGACTTAATTCCTTAGTTAATTTAGCACTTAAAAAACAAGCAGCTCACCACACTTGAGGTTTGAATAATCAAATGCTAGTTCGTTTTAAAAAGTTTGTTTTGACAACTAAACACAAAGAGCGAAGAATTAAACATTTCGTTACAATCATTATTATTTCATTGAAATGTTTGACCTAGAATATAGCTAATAGCAGGCTATTGAGAACAAGTACCCTGACCAGTACTTCATCGTGCTCGCCTGACTCATTGTCGTACCTGTGTTTTCTAAGGAGCCACTAAAAGGAGCCATTATATTTATAAGGAGCCATTATAAGGGGCCATTACAATTATTATTGTACTTGTGTTTTCGATATTACAGTGGTGAGTTTATAACATGCTGCTGAAATCTTTTTATAATTTATTCCTAACTGTATACTTGATCATGGAGGACACTTGCACTATAAATTACTAATAGATGCTTGATAATTAAATTAACACACTTTTATTTAACATTTTTAGTTTAATAACATTAAAATATAAATGCGAATCGAGCAATATGCAATATGTATGATGGAAATTATTAATAGACTTATTGCTTTTGTTTTCTTGAACCATCGTGATAAGTCGTCAGAGCGATTATATTGTATCATTGTTACATTTTAAAACATTATTATAAATTATGCAGATTGCTATATAAAAGCATCTTTTACATAAAGTAATAATACAAAGTTATGCACACGATAAAACTAACAATATTAACTGTTATTACACTATAGTTAATATGGAGCTATAGCATGTATAGGTCCCTTTATGATCTGTTAAAGGAGTTGGTGCTAGTATTTAGCATCAACAAAATCACGTACAAGATCACTGCTTGTACGTGAACAATTTGTCGCTTAAAGTCTCATTAAGAATTTTTTTAATAGCAAATGAAATTTAGGCAGATAGAGGGTTGATTACAATCTCTTTTTTGCTAAGCTTATTTTAGATAAAATTGCTTCTATGAGATTCGACAAAGTACATATTATAATCGAGAACTATTAATAGGTGAAATTTATATCAAAAGATTTCTTACCTCTATCAAGTTATAACAACATTTAAGGCAGTATTTTAGATACTATCTGGAGAGATGCCAATACCGTGAAACTGATTTTACACACCTGTTATAGTTATGCAGAACATGTCCTAAATGATGTTAATATAATGTTATAATGATAGTAATTATTTAAATTCGAGTATCACGTACAGGGATCTTGAGATCTAAAATGGCTAGCTGCTTCGCAAGGCAGCGGAATGCGGTGCATACAAATGAAATTTTTTGACATCTCAAACAATACTTCAATTTACATTAAGTCATAGTAGACCCCATAAACCTGTAAATCGTTTAAAAATGGTGATAATTGGAACTATTAATAACCAAACAAATCATAAAACATAAGAAATCAGTATCAAAAGATTCAAAAACACACTTATATTGACAGTAAAAACCTTGCAAAGGCACTGTGATTAAACATAATATAACTTGTTAATAAAAGAAAAAATCAAACTTGGTATTTCTGGCTAATCATTAACTAAATAATGTCTAAGTATATTGACTGGCTGGAATCTAACAAGCTAAATAACATAACATCAACAAGCTTATATATTTGAAATTAGATGAAATTAAAAGCTAAAGCTATATGAATATATTTGAATGCCTCTCTTCAATTGGAAAATCTATTCAAACTTGTTTTAATATTTTGAAACATTGATAACTTGATCGCTCAACAGCTGTTTCGAGGTTACTTCATCATAACCTAGAGAGCCCAGAATCTCCATGGTGTGTTCCCCTAACTTAGGAATGGTTAGATTTGGATTAGCAGGGTTAGCACTAAGTTTAGGAGAAGGTGAGGGCTCTGCTGTACCTCCTGGTCCTGCCAGGAACATTCCACGATCTTTGTTGTGCGGATGCTCAGCAGCCTCAGCAAACGTTAACACTGGTGTTACACAAGCATCCAGCTTACTGAATATCTCCACCCACTCACTTTGAGTCTTACTAGCAAATTTATCCTGGAAAGCTTTTGATAGCTCACCCCATTTTGGTAACTCCATTTGATGTGGTAATCCGGCCTCACCAAGTTCTAGTCCCTGTAACAAAGCAGTGTAAAATTGGGGCTCTAAGGCTCCCACAGCCATGTAACGCCCATCTTTAGTGCCATAAGTATTGTAATAGGGACAACCAGAGTCAAGTAAATTGCAGCCACGTTGTCCAGGCCACATCATAGGTATTTGATTGATACTAGAAAACAGGAAACTGCTAGCATATGCTGCACCATCTGTCAGAGCAGCATCTACAATTTGACCCTCTCCACTATTTGAACGAGAGTGGAGTGCCATCATGATTCCCATTACACAGAGAATAGAACCACCAGCAAAATCTGCAAGGAGGTTTACTGGAGGAAATGGTGCAGCATCTGCTCGTCCAAGTTTAGACAAAACCCCTGTCATTGCAACATAGTTGATATCATGTCCGGCTGCTTGGCTCATGCTACCATTTTGTCCATAGCCTGATAATCTTGCATAGATCAATTTCTTGTTTTCTTTGAGAAGAACTTCGGGTCCCAGTCCCAGCTTTTCCATAACACCAGGGCGAAAAGGCTCTATTAATATGTCAGCATCATTGACAAGTTTTTTCACAATTTCAACACCGCCAGGTTTTTTCAGATTTATAGATATAGACTTCTTGCCCCGAGCAAGAACATTAGTCGACAATAGAGGCTTGGGCTGATCTATTCTAATAACATCAGCACCGTAATCTGCAAGTAACATCCCTGCAAATGGGGATGGTGCCAAACCAGCCATTTCGATTACTTTTAAACCTTTCAGTGCCATGCCCTGCAAAGTCAAAAATCACATTCAGCAAGTCATGAACTTTCTAAATTCGGAAATTCGATAGGTAATATGATCAAGATGGTCTAATTTAGATTCATTGACTGATTAAATTGTTGCAATCAATTACAAAATCGTACATCTGCAATCTACATCCCAATATAAATCATGAATCCTATGAAAATGTATTACCTACATCAAAGATTTGCTAATCAAGTGGATAGAGAACAAAGTTAAAAATAATTATAGATTAGAATTAGAATTAGAACACCTGCACTCGATATTTTAAGTTATGATGAACAAGTTTAACAAACTGATTGTGGGTCACGGCTAAAACAATGTACAGATCGAACGACAATCATTACTAAGACAAGAAACGGAGTATTCTAGCATCAGAAGTGATTTGATCGGTCACACATGACCGATCCCTATCATAATCAGATGAGTGCATTGTAATATATAAATAATCAAACATGTGTTGATTAATCAGACGTTTAAAACCGATCAGCATCTGGTGATTAGAATATTGATACACGTTCAACACATAATAGTAAATGGAATACCTGTTTGAGAGACATATTGCGGATTTGGAATGACCCAGAATAACAGTTTTTCTGAGAGAGACTCCTTTGACAAACATTGTGCATACACGCTAATAGTTTAAGTGTATAAAAAGCTAAATATTCGACAGGCTGGTTTAGACTGAAGGAACTAAGTTTTTAAGTATGAAACTAAGTCTTGATAGTGACTTAAAGAATTTTACTAGATAGCCCAGTGATTCCGTCTCTCGGGCAGATGGTCTTGGATCAAATCTTATTGTCATCTATAATTCTAGGAAGCGAGCTAAGAATTTTTTCAATCATCATGAGCAGTGCAAAATCTTGGTTGATTCAGCCGACTGATCAAGAATCTATAATAAAGTTAAATGGGAGGGAGCCTATCATATTAAAGTAGTATCCTTATATTTACAATTACGTGTTAACTAAAGCATTATACTCATGTACAATTTTACTAAAAAAGTCTTTGTTTTACTGTAGAAAAATATTCAACAACACGAATATCTTTACTTTACTATAGCGCTCGATTTTGGGATGACTGTTTTGCGCGGCGCACAAAATTATTATGTTCGTTTCTTTACAAGAATAAATTTTTTCGGAACATAAAATCAATTCCCATGTTTTAAAATGAAAAACTACGATAATAAAGTCATTACTTTTTACTGTGTACTAATATTTATATTGATTGCCAATCGATAACTTTTTAAATAAGTATTATTAGTGAAACAAATTTTAGTGAAACAAATTTAAAATTTTATCCTTTATTTTACAATCATAATATAATAATATTTATAAGCCTCCGTTTTGAAAGTTTTAAATTTTAATACATTCACATTTCTATTTAAAATTCAATTTTATGTACAAGTCAATAACTGGCCGCCAAAGCCGCGCATTCTTGAAAACAGGATTAACTTGATTATAGTTATACGACTATGTAAATTAAAAACTATCCGTGGTTTTTTCTTTTAAATAAATAAATTATAATTTTACCTAAGTCCAAAGCCAGCTTTGAAAAATTTACTATTAAATCATAATATATCGTCAACTTTAAATATTTACAATGCAACAATTCATTAATCTGTAAACACGCGTACTCCAGCCCCTAAACGCATAAATTGTTATGCGGCGCGGCTCAAGCCGCGCACGCACGTATTATTTTATACTGTTTGCTTTCTAATAAATATCGTGCCAATGTGTACGTCTAAATTGTAAACGTTCATGTTTTGTGTAAAGTGAATCCAATTGGGACTAGTGACAAGGATAAGGACCCAAGTGCCTGTACGGCTTTTTCGGGCCCCTGTGGACCACTACTCTTGAAATCACTCTACAACATTGAACATCTATATCTACTACGTCATTTGGCAATTATTGTCATTAATCTAACTTTCTAATTAATTGCCGAGGGGGAAGAGTAAACGCTTCACATTAAAATTCAATATACAAAATTCAAAACCATCAATACGGTATTAAATATTATGGACAAGTCTATAGATCTATTTCGTAGTCATATATTCACATGATTTGCTTTATATTATATTATCTTAATACTGTAATGAAGTACAGTAGGATTTGTGTTTCGAGAAAGAAAGGTTGCGGTCAAATTATTAACAAAAGTAAACAAAAGTCCATATTGTTTTTTTGATACTGCTGACCCAATACAGCAGGTCAGCAGCTTCACTTACTTGGGTGCTATCATCAGTGCGGATGGAACAATAGACAGAGAACTGTCAGCTCGAATTCAGAAGGCCTCTGGGGCATTCTATCAGCTTAGCAGTATATGGTACAGTCGCAACATCAAGACACCGACTAAAATCAGGATCTACAAAGCGGCTGTCCTCACTATACTGCTTTATGGAAGTGAGGTATGGAATACCACACAGACGCAGATGAAAAGATTTGAGGTGTTCCATCATAGATGTCTGAGAAGAATCCTGAAAATCAAATGGTTTTATCACGTATCTAATGCTGACGTACGTAAGCGGGCCAACATCGCCCCTGTTGATACTTTCGTACGAGCAGCTAGGCTCCGATGGTTTGGCCATGTGGTGAGGATGCCAGAAGAAAGAATACCCAACTATCTTCTGCACTGGATCCCAAAGCATGGTAAAAGATCAAGAGGTAGACCTCGGAAAAACTGGCTGTCATGTGTCCGGGAGGATGCAGCAATCTTCACAGGTGTCGATAACATCACGATAGAAGATGCAGAACAACAAGCAACAAACAGGGTACATTGGAGAGGCCTAATACATCGGAGAAAGGAGTTACTATGTGGTGCAGGCCACTCCAACGACTAGGAGGAGACCTTTTCAAGTACAAGTAAGTATTGTTTTTTATATGCTACATATTACCCGGCATATGTTATATTTTATTTGGAGGACTTTGCCGCTTCGACGCACCGCGCGAACTAGCATTCTAGCATTCTAGCATTCGATCGTTGCTCTGCGAAGCAGAGCAACGATCTCGACGGATTGACATCGTCAATCAATATTTTATCCGCAAGGCAGTTATATTATACTTTTTTAAAGCTTTTCAGCAAAAGAAGCTAGGATCAAGCATTATAAACTAATATCGACATATTCATATCGCATCGTAGTTTTTTACATTTCAGAAAGTTTGCATCGTAAAAAATATTTCGAAAAGAGCGCTCAGCGCTGCACAATTTTATTTTCGTAAATTTTTTAAAGTTAGAATTAGGATATAATAATACACTCAATTAAATCAAGTGATGCAATTGGCAAAGCACAATTACAATCAATTAAATGTTACAATACATTGCTTCAAAAATGTCAAAACTTTAACATATAATCAAATGTACTATACACACAAATTTCAAAACACATAATGATCTACTCCATTCCAATTGGGGCAGGGATGAGGTTGTATGAGACGTTTCTGATATAAATGGCCATGGGTCTCATGTTTGGTGTCCACCTTTTTTACTCGGTACCCTCATAGAGCTATATATAGCTTTTATAAAACTTTGTTTTACTAAAAATACTTTGTTTTACTGTAGCGCGATGCGTTACTGTGCCGCGCCGCGCACTCAATGAGGCTTTTCCTCGCTAGATCGGCGAGATGCGATACTGTGCCGCGCCGAGCTGCGATGAATTGACATCATCAATTAACTATGAAAATTGTTTCCAACATTGCAAATCTTGTGATCCTCGTTCTCACATGCCTTACTACTTCGCAGTAACTCTCCTTAGATTAGATTAGATTAAGAATAATGACATAAACATCATCACTAGTTTTAAACATTCTTTCTGATTTCCTCATTATCAGAACTGTGAACATTTCACAGCCTTCGTCATTAAAAAACAAACAAATTCTATAACTAACATAATTGTCATAATTTATTTACATATAAAAAAGTTTAAAAAGTTAAAAACCGTTAATTTAAAAAATAAATAAATAAAAACAAATTCATGAGATATTTATTCCCTTTCTCTTGGCAACACACGGATTTTTATATAAATATTGGACTTGTTGCTTCTTCTTTTCGATATAATTTACACCCTCTATTTTTGCTAAAACTATATTTGACACTTCCCAAAAGTTGCCTGTGTCTACTAAATAATTAGTCTTTTTAAATTCTTCTAGATTAATTTTAAAATCAATAACAGACACTGAATTTCTAACAAAAGATGGCAATTTATTCCAAAAGCTGATAACACGCTCTGATAAAAAATTATTAGACAAGGTTTTAATATTTCTATCAATATTGTTAGATTTAGTGCTAACAATTTTATCTCCCGATCTACTTAAATTGAAAATATCTTTTCCATACTCAACCAATCCATTTACAATTTTGTAGGCTTCAATCAAATCTCCTCTAACCCGTCTCTCTGCGAGTGTTGTAATCTGTAAGGCATCCAACCTTTCACTGTAAGGAAGTGTTCCAATATCATCAATAAGGCGTGTGAACCTTCTCTGGACATTTTCCAGTTCAATGATAGTAGCCCAATTCCCATGGCAAGCAGGTGGAGACCACAACTGAGCACAATACTCCAAGTGGGGTCTTATTATAGTTTTATAAACATTTCTCATAACATTAATTTCTCTTATAATGAGATTCCTTGTAACCCATGCAATCATACTGTTTGCTTTACTAATACAACTTTTAATATGTTTCGACCATTTCAAATCTGAAGAAGTTAAAACTCCAAGATCTTTCTCTGCTTCAATACATTCAAGTGTAACACCACTAAATACATATTCTTGAAGGGGATTTTCATTAAATGGAACATGCATTATTTTGCATTTGCTAGGATTAAACTTTAACAGCCAGACATTTTGCCAGTTTTGCAAGCTTTCTAACATATTGAAAGTGCTTTCAGTGTCATTGGCATCCATAATAACTTTAAGATCATCTGCAAACAGTTTTGATATACCATTAATACAATCAGGCAAGTCATTGATAAAAATGACAAACAATAAAGGACCTAAAACAGACCCTTGTGGGACGCCTGATAAAACATCACGAAGGTAGGAATATGCTCCACCAACAAATGTCTTAAATCTTCTTCCAGATAAAAAGTCTTTCACAATATCTAAAGTGTTACCACTTATACCCAAATTTCTCATTTTTGTAAGTAGTCTACTCTAGTCCTTCCTTTTTCTTGCTATGAGGCCTGCTACTCTGTTGACAAACTGCTTACACTCTTTACACATTCCTTAGATTTAAATATTTAGCCCCTTGGCTAGAGAATACGTTCTTAGATATTTTGGACAGTTTAATGAATTGTAATTGATTGATATGTAATATTAAGGCCCGTGGCCAGTTTTCAAAAAATGAAACAAGAAATTTAATTTTAGCACATTTTACAGAATAAAAAGATGAAAAATAATTCATAAAATATGATGCCCATTTGGTGTATGACTTTTTGTCCTTGACTGCTAGTTTGGTTTTGGAAGGACAGGTAACTAACGGGGCAAGGAAAGCTATTAGCATATTACTGTGTGATTCAACTTATCGAGTGGTTTATGTGGGCCAAGTGAAAGTGTTTTTGACTGGCCTCAGCACCATGAGAACTGTAGAAACACAAGCTTAACTGTCTCTGAGTTGATATACGTCTAAGGCACTTTGGGGTAAGTAGAGGCGTAGTACCTCAAACAATGCAATTGCTCAATTAAAGCTCTACTACCCTACCTGTGTGTAGGCAATTACACATCAGCCATCAGTTCATGTTATCAAAATCCAAGGCATCTGTTGACAAATGGGTTTTGATGCCCAATAACAACATGGTGCTTGTGATTGGTGTCACCAGACTTGCAGTTGGTAGTGTCCTGAGTCCTGACTATTCTTGTTTTGTTGTCATGAGATTTTTGACACTTTGTCAATTTTGTGTGGTATTAATTTGGTTGTTTGTTGAATTATTTGGTTTCTTTTTCTAATCGGTTCTGATCTGTTTCATGTGGATCGTTTTAGCAGTGAGTTAACTTTCTTTTTTGGGTTCTTGCTAGCTTGTCTGTGAAAGTTTTGGCTTTGCAGCTTGTGCCTGAGTGTTTGCATCTTGGTGGGAGTATTTGTTGTGTAAATTGCTCTATTTATGCTCTATATATGCACATTGCACATTATTAATGTATAGAACTTTGGGCCTAGCTTCATGTGAGCCCCTTTTTATGGTGCTTGACCTGCAAGAAATTTGGACATAGCTCCCACATGCACAGGAGCCCCGTATGCTGAGATCTCATGGTTAGGTTCTGCATATTCTGGTCTTTTGTGTATTACCACACTTCTATTATGTCTTGTATGGTGTGACATATTAGTTCTATTATATCACTCTGTTGGGATATTGTATGTTGGGATATTGTGTCTTGTCGCGTGTAACATAATGTTTTTATTATATTTTTTGAACCCATTGTATTCTCAGGTATTTATAGGGTAATAGGCATACAGCTTACTTAAGTGCGCAGTTGAGAGGCAGTTCCCGTCCCAACATACCTGTCTGACCCCAATGTAGCACTGTAGACCTTATTGTATAGTGTTGAGATCTCTACTTGCTTTGAATGGTTCATTAGCCACTATAGCTACCATCTCTGCAGTGGTAGACCTTAGCCGTGGTCCAGCAAGGAAGGACGCAGCTAAGAATTTCACCCATCGTGTGTATAAACCCCTAGATTGTAGATGTCCAAATGTAAGCTGCCACGTCCTTCGCCTGTGAAGAGCCTCAAAGACCTGCTTATCGTGTTGTTTTGTAGTCAAGAGTTATGAGGAAACACGGCGTAGAGACCTGCATTGTTGAGAAAAGACAATTTTTGAGAAAAGACAATATGCTAGATCCTTAGTTGTCAAGTTCTTAACTTGTAGGTCCTTACCTTAAGAATCGTAAGGTTTGGGTCCTTACCTACAGGTCCTTAACTTTATTACTATCATTTCTTTCTGGCTCCACCTTTAACAAGTAGTTTCTCACTAGATTATGAAATATCAGATGATATTTGTTTTCTGGCTGATCGGCCGGACATTCTAGATGGCCGAAAATGACACTTATGCTTCAAGTGTTATAAAGGAAAGGAATGTATCCTCTACTATTAACTGACAGACAGGAGTGCTGGTATAATCAGCTGGGTTGGTATTGAAGGAGCGCTGCAATTATCTGGTCAGGCAGTAACTCTGAATGTTAGCGTCATTTAAAAATGTGACATTGGTTAGGCGAGCGCTTAATAAGGCTAAACCTCTGAGCTTAAATTATTACTTTCATGGTAGGTTTTAATTTGCAGACGTTTTACAGTTTATCTAGTAAAGTTTCAGTGACCGTATATTTTCAACTCAACGTGGAACAACATTTTGATGTCTGTTGATGTAATAATAGTTAAATGGAGTTTAAATGAGGCTGACCTGTTGACAATCTCAACATTCTTTGTAAATTGGTAAAGTCAATTCACAAGTTTATCATATTATTACAATAATATATTGTACCTAATCTAGGAATGTCACTGCAAGACGACACAGAACTAAAGGTTGATCCTCATCATTCCACCTCTATCTTATCTCGTCTGGATGAGATGAGACACAGTGAAGAACATTGTGACTGCGTCCTTATAGTCGGTTGGTGGTTAATTAATTAACTAATAATTAGTTAACTAATAATTAATTAATTAATGGTATTCCTGATCGTGCTTATTTCCAAGCACTGTTTCTAATGTTGAATTCTGTGTTATCAATTCTGTTTAAAAGTCTAATTTAACTTGTAATTATACTATTCTATCAATTTGCCTGTTTGTAAACTGAAACACTCCCACTAGAGGATGAGAGATTCCCAGCTCACAGAGCGCTACTGTGCGCGGTGAGCGGGCTACTTCAGAGCTACTTTTGGTACTGAGTTTAAAGAGACGACTACAGGTTCGTGTATCTAATTTTGCAAACAAACACTTGATTTGCTATTTGTTAGTGTCGTGTGGGGGTTAAAAAACGTTACATTTGGGGTGCCATTATATCGTTGAATTGTAGGCATTTTTATGGGAAAACAGCGGTTTATCACTAGTTACTAATTAGTAAGTGATGAGATTCATAATTACACAAATTAGGACGACTAAACTCTAAAGCATTGATGAGATGTCATGTTGTTACTTTAAACTATCATATCATTGATTTTGGATTAGAATTACTGACATTTCTGTCTAAGATAGTATTAAGAATATAAAATCCGGATCGGAATATTGTTTATGAGTCGCATGGGCCCGTCGCATGGCTGCAATGTATTATACGATGTTGTAACATTGAAACGTTGAGTAATTCCTTTCCTGATAAGAGCATTTTTCCTTGTCGCATCAAACGGGATCAATACAAATTTACACAAGAATACAGTATTAAGAATGGTTTAAAGTGATTGTTTTTATCATAATGACCAACGATAGTTATTAATTATGATCAAAACAAACCGAGGAATATCAGGCTGATAATAAATACTGAATATCTGATCTTTCCTTTCAAAAAGCGGATACTCCATATACTTCTCAAATGCCGGGTAATGATTTCTCTGTTGACAGATGCCCAGTAAGAAGGAAACTTCCAATTTTGGAAAGCTTCAAACACTTAGTTACTGCTAGATTTAATGTGGTTTTATAAAAATCATTCTGAAGTTCTAGTCATGCAACTAGGTCCTTAACATTACCTTACGAACAACAAACATAAACGGTATGTTAACATTATGACAAAAATGTAAGTATAATTTGTTGGTTATAATGTGTATAAATGTGCCTGTATTGTGTATAAATGTGCCTGTTGTATTGTGTATAAATGTGCCTGTATCGTGTATAAATGTGCCTGTATCGTGTATAAATGTGCCTATGTTTCAGGAGAAGTGTATCTAAGACAGCTGGGATGTGATGCAGTGAGGTTACTACTGGAATACACATACGGGTCAGTGGAAGTTAGGACATTATTATTAGACTTTACAGTTCCCCATCTTAATTGTGGGGAACGCCATAATAATAAGAGGTAGTGAGAAACGTCAAGTTTAAAAAACATTACACTCCACGCGGATCCATACCTAATGCTCTGAATCCTTTAAATAAATTCTTATGCATGTTGCATAATTCATATTGACTTATTGAATAATATTAACTTAAAATTACAGGAATTGCATTTCAATAACTACACAGAACGTTCAGTCCCTCCTATCAGCCAGCTGCTTTCTGGACTTCTCTGAAGTTTTTACAAAGTGTGCTGATTTTTTGAAATGGCAGATAGACCCAACCAATTGTATAGGTGGGTACCACGTTTCACTCAGGTGTACTTTACTTATTTTATTGTACTTTACTGTGTTTTACTGTATGTACTTAACTGTACTTTACTGTACTTTACTGTACTTTACTGTATTTTACTGTACTTTACTGTACTTTACTGTACTTTACTGTACATTACTGTACTTTACTGTACTTTACTGTACTTTACTGTACTTTACTGTACTTTACTGTACTTTACTGTACTTTACACTCCTGTACTTTATTGTAGACTGTAGATATAAGAAATATTATTATAGTAGTTGGGTTGGGTACAGTAGAGCTCATACTTGTCCACTGTCCAGCCCCCAAATTTCAACTAGTATGAGTTAGTATCCCATTATACGCAGTTTAAACTATTTTCACAACTACTATTAACTTATTAAATATATTTCTCGAGTATTGTGTAATGGGATGCTGTAACCAGGTGCAGCCAGTCCACACCCTGACTCCATAATATGAAGAACTCATTTTAATTCTAAATGAAAAGCTCGAATAACCACACTACAATCCCAGCACTACGAGAGTTTGCCAACAAACACGACTGTACAGAACTACAAATACTAGCAGAGAAGTACACGCGGCGACACTTCCTGCTCGTTTCTAAAGGGGACCAGTTTGTTAACATGAGTTTAGAGCAACTGAAGAACCTTATAGGAGACGATGGTCTCCAGGTTGGTCTTTATCGAGTTAATATCTCCGCTAATTACTGTTAATATCTCCGCTAATTGCTGTTAAGTAGCTAGCTGAGCCCCCGTGTAATGATAATTTGTAACTTTGTTTCCTGGTATGTACAAAGAGTCGTTAGTCTCACATCACTTCAACCTGGTATTGGGCCGAATGGATGGCACTTTGATAGCAGGAACCATAGTAACCATATCTAAGTAACCATGGTAACAAAATATGAGTAACCATGGTAACCATCTCCAAGTAATCATAGTACCAAAACAGCAATAACAAAGGTTACCATGGCAATAAGGCAGTAGTAACCAATAACTATGGTAACCATGGTAATAAGGCAGTAGTAACCAAGATAACCAGGGTAACCATGGTAACCGTGTTCAGGTAACAGAGGAGGAGCAAGTGTTTGACGCCGTAATGACGTGGTTGAGACACGACACAAAACGAGCCCAGTTCACTTACGAGCTCTTATCACTTGTGCGCCTCCCTCTGCTTAGTAAAGAGTTCATCGTAGATATTGTGAGTTATTACAGCTCAGTTCCTGCCGTTTTATCTCGGATGTCATGTTCGTTATAACTAGCTAATAGTGATAATTAGTGATTTGATATTAGTCATTATTATATGTGTATTATTATCTAATAATTGGAGCCAAATAATAATTGTAATATTCTTTGCAGTAATGATATTCCCTCTTCCTCACTGTATACTTTGTTTCAGGTTGAAAGTGACCCGCTGATAAAATGTGATGTTCACTGTAAAGACCTCCTAATTGAAGCTATGAGATATCATCTTATACCTGAACGTCAACACACTGGTAAACACATACTTTTGCATGTAACCTTTTGTCGGACAGAATCTGCCCTGATATTAAGTTGGATACAATTAATGAATAATTTATAAATAATTACTAATACTTAACTTAATAATTAATACTTGAGTTAGTCAGTAAGTTAAGATCACAATAACAATACAGAAGAGTATACGCAGAACGATAGGACAAAGAGACGGTGTCCTGGGGCCACCGAAGTAATTATTGTAGTGGGCGGGAAATACAGAGTTGGAGCATTGGACAACGTTGAGAAGTGAGAATCTTATCTTTTACTTCTTATCTCCTATCTTTTATCTCTTATCTTTTTATTTTATTAACAACTTTTGAGATGATATCACTAGAAATACTATAATATGTATAATGGAATTTATAAATAACTTAGTTAGAAAAGGATTATGTTCGTTACTAGAAACGTTGTTAGAAAAACAGGTTAATAATTTCACTAATTAACTAATTAACTAATTTCCATAATTACCCCAGATATGACCACACAACAGATCTGTGGACGGTGTGTTCTCCGATAAAAACGCCGAGGTACGGTGTCGGCGTAACCTCGGTTGATGGGTATATCTACGCTTTAGGAGGTAATCTTACTTTGTATTTACTAATTACTGTTATTAACGACACATTTATACAGTTCGTGTGTTGTGGTATAAAGTTCAAATATGCAAATATGTAATGTAAATTACTTCATATTTGACATACCTCAAATTATTGACAGTTAATGATAATTCAAACAGCTGTAAGTGATGGAATTTGGAATGTAGAGATGTTTTACACGGTAGTTACATGTGAATGTGGAATTTTCAGGTTTAAATGACAACAATTTGTTAATTATAATTGAATTTCAGGTTTGAATGACAACAATTCGTTAAGTATTGTGGAATGTTACGATCCTCAAACTGACGAGTGGACCTTGCTTCCCTCAATGGCTTACAATCGTGACGGTCATGCTGTGACGGTGTTAGATGGACTTATATACGCTATAGGTTAGTTACTGCTAGTTTCTATAGTTAGTTACAATACGTTAGTTATTAGATTTAGTTACTAAATTAAGTTACCTATACTGTGATATAATAGTTAAAGCAAGTGGGTTTAAAATGTTGCTGTGTTAACAAATTTACTAGCCATGTCACTACTGCTTACAGCTTAGAAGATGTGAGCATACCAAGACAGGTAATACTAAAACTTTAAAGCTTCTTATTCATGTATTATTATACATGTTACATAGGTGGCCACGACGGTAAACAGACGTTGGAAAGTGTGGAATGTTTTAACCCAGCAAGTCGAGAATGGAAACCAGTCACTCCCATGGCAAATCCAAGACGGGGCCTAGGGGCTGGAACTCTTGACGGTCAAATATACGCTATTGGTTAGTACTCGGGATCATCTCCATTCTCGTACACATTCGCGTTAACTTACATTTAAGAAAACTTTACCAAATTTTAGTATCTGAAAGGGTCTACTGGACGGACGTTTTGGAACGCGCCAAATGAAATGTGGTGAAAATGATAGCGCAATAAGCGCGCGCATTAAATGCGCGCTTCTGATCTTCAACTTTTCCCATGTGCCTCCAAAAATAGAAGCTGATCGAACCGATCGATGGCAAGGCATCTAGAACCGACCATTTTTTCTGCCTTCATTTGACCAGCCAGATTTGACAGACGCGTCCCTAATGAGACTCCTAAGTTCTCAAACTGAACTCAAATATCTAAGAAATATACCGGTTCGATATTATTTAATATAAGTTTCAGATCGAAACCGGTTGGACCACCGGCGACGAACCAATTAAAAAGGCACTGTGTTACGCAAATGAACGATTTTATATGTCACATGCGTGGTTAAATATTCGTGTGGCGCTCCTTCTTGCCTGCTGATTATAGGTTTCTGGATTGGTCCTCCAATTCCAGCTATCAAATTGACGTTATGATGTTGGATGTTCTAAATCTAATTCTAAAATGCAGGTGGTTGGAGTGGCTGCGCTTGCCTAAACGTTGTTGAGAGGTTCGACTTGTCAAATCAGAAATGGCGTCCTGTCGCTAGTATGGGTAATAAATCTAAAAACTTCATATTCCCTCGTTCATATTTCATAGCTTCCCTCGTTCATATTTCATAGCTTATTACATTTTAAACTGATATATTATGATCATGTAGAAATCCTGTGATTTGATGGACTTGCGTGTAATATATCAGCGTATTTCAGTCGTCTCATAATGTAAGGTGCAATATTAAGATCTGGATACTGCCGGTGGGGAGGCGATGTTCTGCAGACCAACCCACCAGTATCCAAATATATAATGTAAGACACACTTTATGTAAGGTATACTTTATGTAAAGTATATTTTATGTAAGGTATACTTTATGTAAGGTATACTTTATGTAAAGTATATTTTATGTAACGTGTAAACCTACTAACAGGGATGCTGAGGTCGGATGTTGCAGTGACCACTTTAGGAAATAAGATTTACGCGGTGGGCGGGTTTAACGGAGCGACAGGTCTCAAATCAGCGGAGTGTTACGATCCGGAGCTCAATATTTGGCAGAAGGTAACTTTCTGTAGATCACCTAAGAAAGTGTTAATTTGTTCTGTTGTTGAACTTGGATATTAAAATATTTGCAACTGTAGAATGTTTGTAATGTATTGTCTCTCTCAGATCTGTGCTATGAACAAGGCCAGAAGTGGGGCTGCGCTGACTTCTCTGAATGGTTGTCTTTATGTAGTAGGTGGACACGATGGCTCGACTCGGTCAGTGCCTGAAAAATTGTAAATCATGGTCAGATGTAATTTCTAATGAGCACGTTACTTTTTTTTGCAATAAAAATTAAAAATACATATTAAAAGTAACGACGGTGTTTGCACACGCCTATTTCATCTAACAACATAGTATTCATAACACTGTGCTTACTTTATCGTTTCATTTGAGTTTTGACAACTGTTCACATTATTCAGTACATTGTGCTTACTTTAACAATACAAACTAACAGGCTGGAGACAGTTGAGAGATTTGACCCTCGCACTGGGATCTGGGATTTCGTACACTCGATGGAGATCGGGCGATATCTCCCTGGAGTAGCTGTTACAAACAGGATACTGTGAACCAATCGAAACACGGTATCCAAACCACGTGTCTATCCCCCAACTCGCTGTTCCTGTAGTGGTTAAATTCCTTGACTTGTGAACATCCTCTAGAATGAACAACTCTGATACTTAATTTATTGAGCATGCAGGTTGTACAATGTACACGAAATGTTCATAACGTTGATAAAGCATTATTAAGTCGTTATTAATATTATTTAAATTAAAGATTCTGATACTATGGCTGGAGGGGTGATCCTAGTTAGGGGTCGTTCACAAATAACGTACTTACGTAATCACTGAGGGGGAGGAAGGGGGTTTCTAAATGATTACGCTAGTGTAATTTTAACACAATAGCTATATTGTATAATGTATATCTGTTAAACTGATAACGGAGGGGGGAGGGGGGGTTAAAAATGGGCCTAAAAGTGATTACGTAATATGTGAACGACCCCTTAGTTCTGACACTATGATAAACATTTTAGCGGTTGTAACAGTGTTACTGCAGTAGTGCAGTAAATAATAAAAATAAATCACCTCTCCACCCTTAGTGGTGTATGGTAATCTAAAATGCGTCTTCTTGAGTGGTTTCACTCCAATTGCTGGTTTATTGTTTTGTATAAATTGATATATGGTCAGATCAGTCATTGTTTTAAATCAATGATGCTAAAATAGTGTGTGCCCTGATTTTCAGACTGTTGTTTGTATAAAATCAAATTTTGCTACAGATTTTGGTATTTGAAGATTGTAATTGTTTATTATTTATTTGAAACAGATTCATAAATTATGGGGCAATTTCTTGTCTTTAAAAGATATAAATCAATTAACAAAGTCATTTTTATCTACAAAGCCATTTTCTCCCATAACTTCAAAGGGAAGCATTTCAGGGTGTTTTTTTGTTCATAACTCATATATAAATGTGCTAGTTGCAGTTATTTTGCACCCTTCAAAAAGTCACTAGCACATTCCTATCAAAATTTTAGAAAAATCAGTAAATATGAAAAACGAAAAATGTGCCTGAATTTGTTGTTTGGCTTTGAGGTCCAATAAATCTGAAGAAAAATGAGTAAACACATTTTTGAGGTCATCAAAAACTGCGCCAGAATTCAGAGAACAATTTCATGTCAAGCATCAAAACAATCCGATCTTCCCTGGCTGACTTTTTGGTTGAAATAAGCCTGAAAAGGACAATTTCAGCTTTTTGACTTTAAAAATTTATAACACACCAGCCTTTTTAGATACGATATCAAGATTTTACACATACCTTGAAATAGATGTGAATAGAGAAAAGACAATTTTGAGAAAAGACAATTTTATTATTTATCACCAATTCAATACATAATCAATAAATATATATCCGAATAAATTTGATTAAAAATTAAATGATACAAGTATGCTAGCAGCTAGCGCGCTTATATTTGATAAATATTCACGCTGTTAAAATGGGTTTTACCACACCGCCACTCACATTAGCACAGTTGGTGAACGGACCCAGGCGCTGTTAAGCTTTTATGTAGACGATGAGCAAAATTTCAACCCGATACCGCAAGAAATGATTAACTTATAGCCTCTCCATGAGGGGGGGGGGGGGGGCCAATGGCATAAATGGAGAAAATGGAGAATTACTCATAGGTTTTTCCATTTTCTCCATAGAAATAGTCTCCATTTTATGCCATTTTATGCCATTTTATGCCATTTTATGCCATTGAAAACCTGAAAAATTTAGAATTTCGAGAAAAATTATTTAAAAAAAAGATATTTTCGGCCAATAATGAACAGGTTATCATGAAACATGGAGAAAAGTGGTTTTTAGAAAAACTTTGAAAAATGTTGAAAAATATTGAAAAATGTTGACTTAGATTTAGAAAATGTTCGGTCCGAGTCATTTTCGATACGTACCTCCCGTATCGAGAGCTCCCGATTCCGAGCTCGTGTTGCAAAGGGGAGGCCTGCCTTCCGAGATCGCATTACCTCGAGTCCAAAATTGTGTATCGAGGGGAAGGTGTGGACTTCGAAAAACCGAAAAAATATTTTCGGCCAATAATGAACAGGGTATCATGAAACATGGAGAAAAGTGGTTTTTAGAAAAACTTTGAAAAATTTTGAAAAATGTTGACTTGGAAAATGTTCGGTCCGAGTCATTTTCGATACGTACCTCCCGTATCGAGAGCTCCCGATTCCGAGCTCGTGTTGCAAAGGGGAGGCCTGCCTAGGCTACTAGATGCTTATACTAGGTTAGTAGAGGCACACTTCAGGCAAACTCATAATTACTCAAGCCTAGTGTAAAGTTATTTCTACAGGCTACAGCAGGAGTGAGTAATAGGGGAGAGTAATAGGCACTGAGAAGTGAGACCTACATCCTCGAAAGTCGAAACAAGCTCGCACTGCAAAGGGGAGGCCTGCCTTCCGAGATCGCATTACCAGGGGGAAGCCTCGAGTCCAAATTTGTGTATCGAGGGGTAGGTGTAGACTTCGGTATAAATAAACTCCAATTGCTGGTTTATTGTTTTGTATAAATTGATATATGGTCAGATCAGTCATTGTTTTAAATCAATGATGCTAAAATAGTGTGTGTTGTTTTAATGGGCCCTGATTTTCAGACTGTTGTTTGTATAAAATCAAATTTTGCTACAGATTTTGGTATTTGAAGATTGTAATTGTTTATTATTTATTTGAAACAGATTCATAAATTATGGGGCAATTTCTTGTCTTTAAAAGATATAAATCAATTAACAAAGTCATTTTTATCTACAAAGCCATTTTCTCCCATAACTTCAAAGGGAAGCATTTTAGGGTGTTTTTTTGTTCATAACTCATATATAAATGTGCTAGTTGCAGTTATTTTGCACCCTTCAAAAAGTCACTAGCACATTCCTATCAAAATTTTAGAAAAATCAGTAAATATGAAAAACGAAAAATGTGCCTGAATTTGTTGTTTGGCTTTGAGGTCCAATAAATCTGAAGAAAAATGAGTAAACATATTTTTGAGGTCATCAAAAACTGCGCCAGAATTCAGAGAACAATTTCATGTCAAGCATCAAAACAATCCGATCTTCCCTGGCTGACTTTTTGGTTGAAATAAGCCTAAAAAGGACAATTTCAGCTTTTTGACTTTAAAAATTTATAACACACCAGCCTTTTTAGATACGATATCAAGATTTTACACATACCTTGAAATAGATGTGAATAGACGATGAGCAAAATTTCAACCCGATACCGCAAGAAATGATTAACTTGTAGCCTCTCCATGAGGGGGGGGGGGGGGGCCAATGGCATAAATGGAGAAAATGGAGAATTACTCATAGGTTTTTCCATTTTCTCCATAGAAATAGTCTCCATTTTATGCCATTTTATGCCATTTTATGCCATTTTATGCCATTGAAAACCTGAAAAATTTAGAATTTCGAGAAAAATTATTTAAAAAAAAGATATTTTCGGCCAATAATGAACAGGTTATCATGAAACATGGAGAAAAGTGGTTTTTAGAAAAACTTTGAAAAATGTTGAAAAATATTGAAAAATGTTGACTTAGATTTAGAAAATGTTCGGTCCGAGTCATTTTCGATACGTACCTCCCGTATCGAGAGCTCCCGATTCCGAGCTCGTGTTGCAAAGGGGAGGCCTGCCTTCCGAGATCGCATTACCTCGAGTCCAAAATTGTGTATCGAGGGGAAGGTGTGGACTTCGAAAAACCGAAAAAATATTTTCGGCCAATAATGAACAGGGTATCATGAAACATGGAGAAAAGTGGTTTTTAGAAAAACTTTGAAAAATTTTGAAAAATGTTGACTTGGAAAATGTTCGGTCCGAGTCATTTTCGATACGTACCTCCCGTATCGAGAGCTCCCGATTCCGAGCTCGTGTTGCAAAGGGGAGGCCTGCCTTCCGAGATCGCATTACCTCGAGTCCAAAATTGTGTATCGAGGGGAAGGTGTGGACTTCGAAGAACCGAACAAATATTTTCGGCAAATAATGAACAGGGTAGCATAAAACGTGGAAAAAAAATTTTTCAGAAAAAATTTGAAAAATTTTGACCGAAAAAATATTTTCGGCTTATATATTATAATGAACAAGGTAGCATGAAACGTGGAGAAAAGTGTTTTTCAGAAAAACTTTGAAAAATGTTGACTTAGAAAATTACCCCTCGGTACACAATTTTGGACTCGAGGCTTCCCCTGGTAATGCGATCTCGGAAGGCAGGCCTCCCCTTTGCAACACGAGCTCGGAATCGGGAGCTCTCGATACGAGGGGTACGTATCGAGAATGACTCGGGCCGAAAATTTTATAAGTCAAAATTTTTCAAAGTTTTTCTAAAAACCACTTTTCTCCACGTTTCATGCTACCCTCTTCATTATTAGCCGAAAATATTTTTTTGGTTTTTCGGTTTACCGAAGTCTACACCTACCCCTCGATACACAAATTTGGACTCGAGGCTTCCCCCTGGTAATGCGATCTCGGAAGGCAGGCCTCCCCTTTGCAGTGCGAGCTTGTTTCGACTTTCGAGGATGTAGGTCTCACTTCTCAGTGCCTATTACTCTCCCCTATTACTCACTCCTGCTGTAGCCTGTAGAAATAACTTTACACTAGGCTTGAGTAATTATGAGTTTGCCTGAAGTGTGCCTCTACTAACCTAGTATAAGCATCTAGTAGCCTACTATGAGCTTTCATAAGCTTGTTACGCCCCTAGTAAGCGTAAATAAACATGTTAGGATGTCCAATTTAGGTGTTAAATGGTGTTAAAGATGAAATTTCGAAGACAAAATTCATGGCATAAAATGGAGAAAATGGAGAATTACTCATGGGTTTTTCCATTTTCTCCTTTGAAAAAGTCTCCATTTTATGCCATTTTATGCCATTTTATGCCATTGGCCCCCCCCCCCTCCATGAAACCAGGAAATGCTCGATTACAAAAATGGGTATTCTCAAAATAATTTTTTTTGTGTGGAACTGGAAACGGTGTGCTAGATGGTCACTGAACTGCCTATGAGGTCATTCGGGTTGGACAGCACTAACCACTGTTTTGGTGTATGCCCCCTTAACCCCACTTACACTGTATAAAAGGTCTGATGTTGATTAATCAATAATCACTCTACTATCACGTGACTTACTTAAAAATAAACATGTTCTCTACAAGTACACACTACATCAACATGGATCATGGGCCTGAGGGACTATCCAAAACCTTACCGGACGGCACTCAGCCCGTCATTCCGCCGCGAATCTCTATTATGTTTATGAACATAATAGCCTGAGGAGTGAGGTCCCTAGGTAACCCAAAACCATAACCTTCTAATATACTCTGACCCTTACG